GGTACTTCATTCATACACTATATTCAGAACACTTCATATCATAAGGCTGCGTGATTTACCCCATTTATTTGCCTTACAAGAATATTGCTGACAAAACCAGCTTTTTGCATCAAAAATGACATTGGGTCATTATTCTAATAGGTCAGTTCTCTACAACTCACACAGAGAAAAATGACCCCAAAGCCATATTTTTTGTTTTCACAAAAAGGTGGGTCATTTTTCTACGTACAATACCTGGTACTGACAAGGTCAATATTCTTTGAGAGTCACTTTTCGTCAATATACTGGTATAATTATTTGATATGCAACTTGTACCACACTAAATTCGAAATGAAACAATAAATTAAACCTCTAATGCAATTGATGCATATTATTTCCATCTTAGGTAAAAGATTAAAGGCAAGAAAGATATCGATGAAAATAAAACACCTTGCCTCTCTGATAAATGGGATATTGAGAATTTTTTAAATTCATCCTCCATATATATGCATATCAATATTTCAATATTCCATTATCACCTATTTACTAGTATAATGTATGTATAAAGTTATTATATATATATACTAGTATCACCTATTTGGTCAAAACACATGAACAGGTTTTACAAATGAACAATTTCTAAACTATGACAAACTACTGTCAAATAAGAAGGCCATACAAGGGTATTCAATCAACAATTTGCAGATCAACATTTTGCAAATAGCCCATGGACTATAGACTGACTGTTTGCAAATACAAACTGTCTTTAGTAGGTCAGATATTAACTTTTTTCTGAAAAAAGAAGATATTTTTGTGAAAACAAAAAAGGTTTTCGGTGCTCGGTCCACAGGAAATGCATGCTTGACCAAACCAATTTTCTTATGTTTTAATGTGTTTTATTTGCTTTGCTCTCATTTTGTATTGTTTTATTCGGCTTCTGTCAAAGTCTGATTTATGTTCTTTATCTTCACATTCAATTTCTTCAAAAGATTTCTTTTTTTTACTTACTCTTGTCTCTGGTTTTATTCATAGGTGAGCTCTGAAGACGACGAAGGGACATCTTGTTGTGACGTCCAACATGGAAGACTCCAGAATATATTTAGAGTTGTCTACCCTCTTTTGTTTATTATATTTAACATTGTGTATTGGGCATATTTCATATCTGTAGATTAACATCCCAATTTATTATGAAAACATCCACTCTCCTCGTGCAAAATCATTCAAATCCATTTTTTCCGCGTTTTTATTTTTTAAAATCCTTCTCGCTGACGAAAGCCAAACGTCTCTTAATCTTTTTAAAATAAAAATCAATCAAAGAGTTTATTATGTAATACTATTTTCCCCATGGATATACTATTGTGAAATTATGTCTGCATAATTTTATTTAAAGAAAGGCTACCCATTTACTTGTCCTTAACTTTGATAATATTAATTTAACTCTATGTCCATCTGTCTTTCACAAGTTCTCTGTGTAGGTTTTGGGATAATATCTCAAAGAGACCTTAATAGCTTTCACAATAATTTTATAGCTGATAATAACTACATAAATTCTATTCGAAATTACGAATAAACTAAAAATTTAACATGAAAACTCCCTACTGGTATTATTAACAAGGTAAAAAATTAAAATTTTGTATCAAATGATTTTCAGATAATCTTATTTTTCTCTGAGGTGTGGAATTGGAATTTAACAACATGAATCGCTGTAGGTAAAAATGCTTGTATTGATTTTAGTCAAGAATACTAGTGATCATTATAATTATTATTTTTCATTCGTGAATTTTTTGGTTCCTCTTTTGTCCGTAATTAGGGGACATTTTCCTGAAACAGTTTTCTTAATATACAGTTAGATACGAAAAATATTTTTTAGCTACCCTAGAATGTAGAATTTTGCTTTTCCAAGATTAATTTGCGTATTATTACGATATACGTGTATTTATATCGATATATTTCAATGTTATTACGGGTTAATATCCCATGACACAGTAGTAATTTTGACAAATAATGACGACTGAATGATATTTTTTGTGTAAATAAAATTAATAATTGTATGTTTTTTTTTTCTTTTCTTGCTTACGGAACAGATTTAAAACTTTGTCTTCTATCTATGATAGTGTGTGCATTATATGTAAATGGATTCACTATCTGTGCAACTACTTTTGATTCGAAGTGTTCTCTTTTTTTTCTTCAAAAAGGGAAGAGTTTTTTTTTTCTTCTATAAACTGGGAATCGTGTTATTTTTTTTTAACATTGAGTTTTTTCGTTTATATTTTTTTTTTGTATGAATTTTTTTATAATTAAATAACAAAGAACTTTATTCGGTAATAACCAATATTTGCCCCCCAAATCAAACTTTGATGGAGATATATGTTTTTTTTAAACAGGGGAGTAACATTCAAAGCACTGTTTTTTTCGTATGTATATTTTTTTTGTTTTTTTATGAATTTTTTTTTTCGTCGATATTTTGAGTATAATGTGTGTTCAGGATCAATATTTTGATATAATGTGTACCAAGTTTCCTTGAGCTAAAATTGTTGAAATTTTGTCAATTTTGTCCTTTTTCTGAAAAAGGATATAAAATCTGACTAGTTTGTGACGTCATAAAAACAAAAATTGTGAATACACTGCTTTGACACCATAATATTTTCTGTTAATTTATATTTCTCATACAATTTATTGAATTCAGCACATTTCAGGAAGTTTTCAAAATTTGACTTTTGTGAATATATGCATTAGTTGTTACATTAGTTGTTACATTATTGAAAATGTCCACCCTTGTATTTAGCAGATAAACAGTTCATATGAGTAAATAAATTGTACAATTCGTGATCCCAGGTTAGAAATTTCGATGTGGAAGGAGCCTTGCTCTCTCAAAAACTTTCTCTCTCCTCCTCAACACACTCTCTGCCCCCTCATCACCCACTCTCTCTCTAACATCTATCTTTCTCTCCATTCTCTCTGTCTCCCCATACATACACACTATCTCTCCACTCTCTCTTTCTCATTCTTTCTACCCATTCTCTCTCCTCCTTTCTGTCCATTTTTTTTAATCGCTTGAGTCTTACTATTTGGACTTGTGAAATAAACTATATATGTGCATAACACATAGCCGTTTTAAAGTTTTTTTTTTACAATACAAATTTTGTTTCATTTTGTATTGTAGGGAAATGGCTTTTTAGGATAATATTTTTCGCCGGTTTCAATCTGGTGATATGACGTACATGTAGGTTCCTAATTCCAGCGTTCTTTTTTTGATTTTCTACTTTAAATTCGTATAACTTAAATTACAATGCAGGATAATGTAAAATGTTAAAAAGTGGGATATTGCTTAGCACAACAATTAACGGAAAGAAAGTAAGAATACTAGTATGGAAGATATATGAGATATTCATTCACTTGTATTATTTTGTTACTGAAGATTTAAATATGTTTGCCGTTTAGTAGTTTTTTTTTCTTTTTTGTGAATAAACCAAGTCGAAAGATGACAATATATTGCTTTTAGCCGTATGGATGTAAAAAAAAATCAAATCAAAGCTATAGTGAATCTGAAAGGAAACCATTGTTTTTAATTTCAACGGACCTGATTTTTTTTTCACAGCAGGTATCTTTATTAATATAACTTCCATAGAATGGTATCATAAATTAAAATTGTAACATGCAGGGTGTTTCAGCAAACATGTCCCGACTTTGCGGTTTCAATATAAAGTTAGGCAGTATGAACGACAGAATTTTTTTGCAAAAGTGAAAAACACATAACCAAACAATTTCAAAAATATGAAAGTTGAAGTAATTCTGATTCAATTATTTTTTAGAGGCATTTTTAAAGCTTGAACATCTGCAGTAATTTTCAATTTAACGTCATTTTTATGTGTTCTAAAAAGGCACAATATTTTCAGTCAGCATCCTCAATTTGTCTCTGAAGTCCTTTATGACATATATTTGGACATTTGTAATGAAAAGTCTGTTTACTAGAAACATGGCTTTCATATGAGTACTTTTTTCAAAATCTTATGCACTGATATTGATGATTTTGGAGATTTTCTGTTAGTATTGTTTAGTTTATAAACATCCATAGATCCATTTCTGAACAAAAAACCCACACAAACTAATTCTTGAAGATGTAATTAAAACTTCAATGGAAAAAATGTATTGACTTTATTTTATATTGATTATATCACAATGATATTGCAAGAAAATGGGCTTTAAGATACAGTTATCATTTTATAAATATTTTATTATTGTGCAAAAATATAGACATCAAAAGTAGGGACGTGTTTGTTGAAACACTCTGTACAACGACCAATAATACATTTATATAGGGGCTTTTCTTTTTCCCCTTACATCATAACTGTTACAATAAATGTTGCAAAGCCCATGGGTTTAATTACTGCCCGATGATCTTTGGTTTGTTTGTTTTTCTTAAACTATAGACTTTAAATTTAATCATAATATTAATTTTTCCTTCTCTATTATTTGTATTTAGAAAATGAAGCTTCCCAAATCGTAAATCCTCAAAGAAAACAAAAGCTTGTTGAAGATATTTTGTAATGGATATACTATTTGTGTCTTTGGTAGCTTCTTATGTGAGAAGGTTGTTAAGGATAATCTGTGAACAGGCTGCTGGCATATACATGTAGATACGTAACCCCAGAAACTCCAGAGGTACATGTACATGTAGGAAGTTAGGAACAGGAGCCCTGAAGGGGCAAACATTCCCTGTTGACCTCTCACCCCCACCTGGAGGCCTGTGTATTGATCAGGTAAAGGAAATTTCTCACGAAAATTGTAACATATATTTGTATTCTTAACCCCTCTAATATTTTATATAATAACAGAGGACATTGTGGGTGTCCTGTCTACCGTAAAGTACACTTGATTGTGATATTGCAATTAATCGTTTAGTACATGTATGTTACGAAATTTTATTGGATTGCATTCATTCATTCTTCAGACGCAATATATTTGATTGGATGGGAAACAAGAGTGTACGTTGGAAGAATGTAGGCTAACTTGGAGTCAGGATGATTTTTTTGAAGAATTTTAGTCAAATAGGTTACCTCTCTCTTTTAGGGTCTATTCATGCTTTATTAAGGTAAGAAAGATCATAAATGGTTTAAATTCGAACGCTCGTGTGATTAAATTTTAGTTTTACATGCTTTATCACATTTTTAATGATATTGCTAAATAATTTGATTTTGAAATATTTGACATCTCTAATTAGACCGATTTATTGTTCAGCTGGAAAGAACTAGAGAATAGCTTAACCAGTAAGAATTATGATTTAGCGCCTTGGACATATACAGGTATATTTATACTTTTAATTCAAGACGAATTTTCAAGAAAATATATTTATATAGATTAATAAGCACACTATTTAAAGTTTTTATTACTAGCTAAAATGCAACCAAGCAGAATTTTAATTCTTTCGATGTGAAGAACTTTTCTTATATTTATTTTAACCATCATTTTAAATTAATACATTTTTAAAGTTATTCAAACATCTATCATTAAGGTCAATGTATCATTTTTATGAAACAGTCATAGGTTTTTGTTTCATTATTTAATTAATTTTTGTTTGAAGGAACCTTCTGCTAATTAATTAATTAATTTCCAAATGTTGATGATTTCTTTTCTCTAAAAAGATTCTATATACATTTACTGTCAAGTACTTTTTTAAGTAATCCAACATTTCAGGTGAAGTAACCCGAATCACAACACATCTTATATTTACCCATGTTCAGTCGCCAGCATTTTCAGTGAGTAAATACCTATTTTTTTCAGCAAAATAATACATGTAGAGAATATTTTTATTTGTTTAAATTCTGAAATATATCAATTAAAGTCCACCGGTCACTTCTTTTATGTTTCATTAATATTTGAAAAAAGTTTTAAATAAATGATCATTACAATATAAAGAAATAAGTTATAACACAATATTCATGTATGGGTCTTAAAGAATGATGTAAAATATGACATTTTAATATTGATATAACTGCAAGCATTATTTAAACAGGTTCATTTATTTGAAATCAAACGCCCAATATTTGCAAAATTACATAACACAGACAAGCAATAACGCCAACTGTGGTATATTTCTGCTTATCCTGTCATCTCGTTTAAATTACTTAAACTTAATGGTAAGGATAAGCACTCACCCTAATTTTCCATTTTAAACAGGAACTTGGATTTTCTTTTCATCTGATTCAAGAATGGAAGGACGTCCGACTGAAATACAACCACAGCTATGTCCACTTCGCTGGAAAATACGTGCTTTTAAATGTGAATAAATTTGATTTGATATGGACACCTGATAGCTACATTACAAACGCCATATCTGAAATGCAACACGGCGTCATAAACCCGAATGTATTCATACGCATCTACCCTAATGGAACCCTTGTAAAAAGTACTAGGTAAGTTGTACAAAATATGATATCTCTCAACATTTTTGCTGCAATTCTTGCTGGCATAAATTTTAAGGGTATATATAGTAATAGACGTTGCCTTTTCCAACTACAACTAGAGGTACTGTGAGCAATGAGCTCACTAAATGATACTGTCCGCCTCCCATATGGTTTTAATGGCAAAGTCCATGTTTTGCTGTGACCGAGAAACCCAAAATATGTGTCGGATCAAAAAGTAAAATAGGAGGTGCACAATGGCAATATGTAATAAAGATTCTGTGAAAGTTTCATTAAATTTCACTCAGTGATACAGGAGGAGTTGCGGATAAGAGATGGGTATCCCAAAGCGAAACAGACGGACGGAGGGACGGACGGACAGACGGACGGACAGACGGATGGACATACAGGGTGTTTCAGAAAACATGCAACCATTTACTTTCCTCACTATATTGATATACAAACAGGAACATATGAAAGTTTTGTATAAAATTATGCTAAAAAGGCTTAAGTTTTTATCAAAATTAAAAATTAAGAAAATAATGACCATTTTAATTAATTATGACGTCATATTTGACATCATTAAAAAACAGATGATTTCATCCTTAATGTGTAATTTAATGAACAAACCATCAGGAATTTTGATTCTGCTTTATCAGAGCATGTTTCCAGTACCTGTGGTTATGGCAATATGTGAAAATAAGATTTTAAAATTGCAAATGACTTACAATTAGCAATATAAAGTGGAAGTTGTTTAAATCTGTTAAATTTTGTATCTAATGAAAGAGTCAATGCATGATCATTCACTCAGAAAAGGAAAAAAAAAATGAAGAAAAAAGACAAAACGCGTGGAAACATTTAGAATGTTACTAAAGAGGCATTGTTCTAGAGACTCCCTGTGTAAAAGAACTGAGTTTGTGAACAAATTGGGCAATTCAAGTGTAGATCAGATGCTGAAATATGTTTTGAATCTTAAACCTTGGACTTAATTGTTAGAACAAATCTTAGGAGGACCATTCAACTCTTTCAAATCCGTTAAATTGGGCTTCCACACTCACCTGAATTAACATCCCTTGATTTTTATCTGTGGGATTATTTAATGGTCAAAGCATTTCACCCTCCCCCTCCAAAAAAAAAAAGAAAGAAAAAAAAGAAGTTAACTCAAAATAGTTTTAAAAATGAGACCTGATTCATTCTCAAGAGACTCATTGCAATAGTAATGAGAACTTTCTTGCATCGATAGATTTCTTCTTTCAGCGAAAATGACGTCATTTAGAGGTTAATTCTTAACTTAGTGAAATTTAACAAGTTTCCTTTTTCTTCTGTTATTGATTATTTATTTGTCGTATTAACTTTATTTTCATAAGAATAAATCTTGAAGTTGTGACTTTTAATCAGATATGTTGGTGCATGATATTGGTTAAAATATCAGTAAAATAAAATCAATCAAAATGGTTGCATGTTTTCTGAAACACCCTGTACCGATTACAGTATACCCTCCCACTTTTCAAGCGGGGGGTATAATAAGGCACGATCTATTATTATTAATGGAGGAGTTTCGGAGACTACCAGTTTATAAAATAAAGAATGATAATTGAAAATAGGTGAAAATAAAAAACTTCAAACTATAGAAATATGTAAACAGGACCCATAGAAATTCCGGCGGTGGAACCATGTACCTATATGAAGAGTTAGTATGCCCTGCTGACGGTTCACACCCGCCATCAGTGTACTGATTAATTAAGCAGATGGAACATTCTTTAATAAAATTTAGAACAAAAACAAAGACCTAAAGCAATTTGTATGAAACAGGTCAGCCAAAAAACAATCCAATGATAGGTTATGTTTGCTAATAAGGTCGTTATTACGATAGAAAACAAGGTCGTTATTACGACAAAAAAAATGATGAAATTAAACGTGGTTGTTGAAATTTGAAATGCTGCATCAACTTATGTGTAAGTAGCCTGTTTTAGTTTTAAAAATTGGTCGAACTCAGATGATAGCTAGTATTGATACATAAACAAGGAAAGTTGACAATAGACAAACTGAAGTCATCTCGGTATGTCGTCTAATTTAGCTGTTAGCTGGTCTTTGTCGTCTTTTGTCAGTAAAACATCCGTATATGAAACAGATTAGGCAGTGTCTGTTATTTCAAGTTAAAAGTCTGACCAAGTAATATATCGAATCGACATATGAATGGAAATAAGTGTTGTTAATTAATACGTTATATTGGTTAATAAGTTCATTATAAAGACCATAAAATATATGCGTGAGTAGCCTACTAGGGTTGAAAAACAATTTAGAAAATAAACAAACATGTGTATGAAATGGTGAAAAAAAAAGAAATAATTGTATTAACATAAACAAAGTAAATACTAAAATAAATTTAACATGACCAAGGATACAACGTTAGTAATGCTCCTTTCTTCCGCGAATGATGTTTTTGAATTGCAGTAAGATAGGAAACTACATTTTGTCATTAACCATCCAAGCTCATTTACAAAGATGATATGTCACACTACATTCGAAAATTAAAGAAAAATACCTTTTATGCGTTTCGTGTACCTGTAAATGAGTGAAGTTTCTATTTTGCAGAATAATAAATAATAGATATAATCTATCTCTTTGTTCAGATTAACAGTAAGAACACCATGTCCCCTGACGCCAGTTGGTTTTCCACGTGGTTCTCAGACGTGTACAATGGGGTTTGAAAGTTGTAAGTTGAATATTGACAAATAATTGTGTAGGAAGCTTCATCTGAAATTTGTTAAAAACTTAACATATGACTGTTTAACCATGTTCAATGGTATTTTCTAGGTTCTGGTCATTTCAACAAAATTTTCTGTGTAGGCAATTTTGAAATTATGGTGAAATATTTATATTTAGATTCCTTTACAACTTCAGAAGTGAGCATGATTTGGAGAAATTATAATCCTTTTGAATTTCGTGACGATTTTTCTACCAGTGGTTTGGCTCTGAACAGTGTTAAAAGGAAGAATTGCCTTCAAGAATCAAGTAATGGACGAAATCTTAACGTATAGAATAATTAAACATGGTATAAATTTGTAATGATAAGTATCAATTTGATTTGGAATGCATGATCTGGCTCATAGTTTTGCAGACTTTCCTCATAAATATATTTTATATGTTGTTGAGAGGCAAATCTTACTGAAGTTCAATACAGAAAGCAAATATACATGTGCAGAGTTCGAAATATATGACGTTCTCCAGGCCTTTTTCCACGATTTTGATATTTTACGTGCCAGGAAGTTTACTAGTACTAGTAGATTTTTCGGACTAGTACCTGCAAAGTGAATTGTCCATTTGTCAGGTTCCTATTTCATTTCAAGAAATTCCATTTGTAAGCTGAGGTTTATAAAAAGTATCGTCCTCATGATCATGCTATATTTGACATTAATAGTGTTATTATTTCTTGAACTTCGTACTTGAACAGGAGAATATCCATGCTTAAAACTTCAAATCGAAATAGTAAGGGACTTTAGCCAGTTGATTTTACGCATCTACGTCCCAAGCGTGTTTGTGGTGATTCTTGGTTGGATAAGCATGTGGATTGACAAAGGCCAAGTAGCCGCGCGCACCAGCCTGGGCGTATTATGTGTACTTTCCATAGTAACACAACTAGTGGGCGTGGTTTCAATCGATAGTGAATTGGAAGGTGTAATTGCAGTGGATATTTGGATGGCAGTCTGCATGTTCTTTACAATCAAGTCACTTTTTGTTTTTATATTAGTTCACAACATGAAACGTAGGAAAGATAAAATGAAAGAAAGATACAAGGTACCCCTTTCACTATTCCTTTAACATTAAAGCCTTTATTTCATATCATAGCCTTTTTTGCATTATAAAAATAATTTGATTAATTGTAGATTTTCAATTTTTAAATCGGATATACCTAGTTTAGAAACGAACATGATACGTAATAGCACAAACACAAGTTTTTACCTTATGGTTATAGTCAAAGACTAAAATAAAAAAAACATAACACTACTTTTCTGCAGCTACTATCACGTCTAATCAAAAGAAGCAGATGCATGAAAGTCCCTTTAAATCAATTGTAAATTAATTCATATCTAATTAAAAATATTTCTGATAAAATTTCTTTAACATTTTAACTTAATATGAAATATATCTCATCCGTCTTAACCCATTTTAAGTGATAATTTATTGCAGTTTAGAAAATGGTTACAAGCATACTTATTTATTTTTTTTATCAAATAATATTTTCACTATCTTTTCTAACCTTTTTCATAGGATAATTCCGAGACAACTGATGTGAGGTTTGAATCTGCTTGGTGTGATATCCGGTACGGAACATTGCAGAATGTGTTTAGAGTTGTCTACCCTGTTTTATTCATAGCATTCAATATTGTGTACTGGACATTTTTCCTATCTGTATACTAAAACGTCAGTTTGATTTAGAAAGATATCCTTCTTCAGTTGAATCAAAAAATGTTAGTTATAATTAAATATATTTACATAACTTAACATACATGTACATTTCTTTCAACTGGCTTTGTTAAAAAGGATGTAAGAGTCAAAATCATCTACCACCTCATCCTCTGATGTAACCTTTCATCAAATATACACTGAAATCCAGTTTTACCCCCGGTTATGATTGAGAACCCAACTGACTCAAATCATGAGCAAATGGCCATTCACTTTGATTTTAAAAAACATTACTTAGCTTGTAATGACTAAAAAATCATATATATTTAGGGGCACAATATGGATTTATACCTATTAGTACAAATTTATAAATTTGCAATGCTTATTTCATTTGCTAACCCATACAATAGGTAAAAAGTAACAACCAGACACTAAATTATGACAATGGTTTTTATCACTTTATCAAATTTCAAAACTTTTACCTATAGGGACATTGTTTTATAGGAAGTGCACCCCATTGTAAATGTAAATCACTTTGTATTCGCGAGAACGTTATTTTCGCATAATTACGCAAGACAGTGTTCTCACAAAAATTTAAATCTCATGTACGAGAGATAATATTATTCCTTAAGATTATATAAAGCAATAACCACAATGCGTGAAATTTGTTTCATTAGTAAAGAGTCAGTCATATCTCATGAAAATGAGGTGTTGCGAGAATTGAGTGATTTGCAGTATGTTCTCGGGGCTTTGGAATTTCAAAAACTCAAGTACAACAGACGGGAACAAGTAGAAAGTTCTCGTGAATAAAAAGTGATTTACAGTATTTTTGGTGAAAAATTTTGCTCTGTATAGAATTATACAAATTATTATTATCTGTCATTCTTTTTTTAATTACGGTTATTGAGTATACTACACTTGATAACATTACCTTCAGTTTTTTTCTGTTGTAATTGAATATTGCAAAATAAGGCATGAATTGATATTTGTTAAAATATTCTCTGAATATTTATTATTTATCCTATTCCTATTTTCCCAAAATCTTTTACATGAGAAGAAAACATTTGTTGTGACCTTCAGTTCGACCTTCAGATAAATCGTTGTCGTTTTATAAATTAACAATAGAAAATTCAATTCAATATGTCGATTTGATATATCATAGTAAAGACAAAATAAAAGAAATTGCATATTATTTAATAGTTAGAATGGCTATTGCATTTGAAATATGATGACGATACAATGATATCAATGATATTAATCAACAGAAGACTCTCTTTGTAACTGATCTTATCTCACATAGGAACATGCTCAGTGATACATGTATAGGTCTTTTATATTTATACTACAGATCAACTTTATAAGTTTGCAAAATGCAGACATCAGATATAACAAATATCGATTATAACGAGATACATGTATAACCTGATGTCCACAGCATCTCGTTATATCCGGAGTTAGCTGTATAATCGTATATAAATATTGCATGTAGTTGAGTGTAACATTGAAAATGTTCAACCCAAGAAAAGCATTGTCAACCGAGGCGCAACCGAGGTTGACAATGGTTTTCGAGGGGTGAAAATTTCCAATGTTACACTCAACTTCATGCAATATTTATTATATTATACTGAATGTTTTATACAAATACATAATTATAACAGTAAACCGTGCGCGGATAAATTCTGAGCAGTCGCTATTTTTGGAATATCACCCTTCGTCAAGCAATGTTGACTGTTAAGTTAATACGCTGGAGGGCGTGGCTTCATTATTCAGCGGGTAATAGTGTTTTTTAACAAATGTTTCTCGACCAATCAGATTCAACTAATTTACATGAAAGTATATTATAATTTAATGCAGGCTATAAAATGTTAAAATCGAGATGTCGGTTAAACACGAAAAGGAAAACGGAATAACATTTAACGGAAAGAAAGACTGATAACTTTCAGGATCTTTAATTCTCAGAGTATACAAAGTCCCGTTGATCATATATTGTAAAGGATACACTACATGCATTTGCTTCTTTGATGAATTTCTACGTAAAATAATTAAAAGGGAGATATTAATATAAAAAAAGTTACATTTTTGTGAAGAGGCATAAAATACGGACCCCCAGAATTTCCAGAGATAAGTTAAGGTGCCTTTGAGGTGTAAGTATGCCCTGATGACCTGTCACATCCGCCGGGAGCCATATGCATTAATCAGGTAGAGTTAAATTTACCGTAAAGAACATAACTTGAATATTGTTGTGATATTTCAAAAATATCAAATTATATACTCATTTAAATTATTATTATGAAATACTCATTTAGTATGTTAAAAGTTTTGATAGCATGCATGTATTTGCTCTCCAGATCTAGACTCGATAAAAGTTCATTGGATGAAAACTGTGCTTACCTTGGAAGGTTATTTTTAAATAATCTTGAGTCTAGATACTAGACTAACTTGGAGCCAGGATGGATTTTTCCAAGAATTTTGGTTACATTGTCTATCTCTCTTTTTGGGGGAGTATTCAGGCTTCCTTAAGGTAAAGAATATTTTAGATCGTTCAGTTTTGTATGATTTTCTTTTTAATTTGTACATGTATAATTTTAATGACAATCTATGAATTATGTGTTTTAGGGATAAAATCTAAGAGCATTCTGGCATATCTACAAGTTTTTTTTTATTGTTTAGCTGGAATGAACTAGAAAATATGTTAACCAGTAAGAATTATGATTTACCCCCTTGGACATTTACAGGTAAATTCTTACTCTTCAATTCAAGATAACTTTGCAAGAATTCAATTTTTATATAAAGACTAATAAACACAACATTGATAGGTTTGGTTTCGTAGAATGCAACTGATACTAATTTCAACATTTTCTCAGCTTGCAATTGTGAAACAATATCATCTTTAAAAGAGAAGAACCTTTTAAATCTACATCCATGATTATGAACTTTAAATTTATACATTTTTATAATCATAATTTAAAAAAACAACAGTCAAACTCCAAGATCAATGTCAAATTAAAGGCACCCAGGGAAAGGCCTTGTGAAAAGAAATATACGTATGAAATATTAAAGCCCTAGCATCAACTGTTCAAAAGTTGTGGCAATGGAAAACAAAAGTCAAAAATAGGTCAAATTCCAAGGACAAAATATACAAAGAAAGACCTTGACACAAAAAATACACCCATGAAATATAAAGGCCCTAGTGCTAAGTGTTCATAAGTTACGCTCAGCTAGGTTATTTCAATTAAAAGTGGGTCAAACTTAAAGGTCGAGGCCAATATAGTTCTACCCATTGAAAGGTCTTATCTTGGTAAATACAAATACTGTTAAAGTTTGGTAAATTCTTGCACAATTGGGTAAAACTCCAAGGTCGAGGCCAAATGTATTGGTATCTAAAGAAAGGACATGGTACATGGAATGCACGTGTGACGTGTGCAATGTAAGAGCCATAGCTCCAACCAATCAAAAGTTACTGGCAATGTTAAAGTTTCGGTGGACAAAATGACAGACAGACGGGCGGACATGACGAAAACTATATACCCTTGAATCTTCGATTTGAAGGAGAACTCTGTTTTATGTACTAGTAATAAAACGTATTATAAACAAAGGAAAAACATTGCTTTCTTTTCATTTCTTTGTTTTTCATTTAATAAACCAACATTTCAGGTCAAATAACCAACATAACAACACATCTTATAATTACCCATGTTCAGTCTCCAGCTAATACAGTAAGTGAATATGTATAATATATTATTCTGGATATTTTTATTTGTATAGATGTGAAAACGTATTCAAATTTGTCGATCATTTCTTTTATGTTTCATTAATATTGGAAAGGTTGAATGTATGTTAATTATAATATACACATTTTAATAACGGTCAAATTACGTATATAGGTCTTGCACATTGCTGTAAAATATGACATGCAGTTACATGAAATCAGACTCAATATTAGCAAAAGTATGCAGACAGGCCAAACGCCAACTGTAGTACATTTTTGTTTATTCCTTTTATATCGTTTACTAAAAATATTAGCAAAAACACTAATAGTTGCCAATAATTCACACTACACTTTCAATCAGGAACTTGGATTTTCTTTTCATCTGATTCAAGAATGGGAGGACGACCGACTGAAATACAACCACAGCTCTCTCCACTTCGCTGCAAAATACGCCCTTTTGAATGTGAATAAATTGGATTTAATATGGACACCTGATAGTTACGTAACAGACGCCATATCTGAAATGCAACACAAAGTCACAAAACCAAATTTATTTATACGCATCTATCCTAATGGATCTCTGGTAAAAAGTACTAGGTAAGTTGTAGAAGAATTTCTCGATGCCTTTAAAGAAAGCAGAGCTGCATATATTTTTATTGAGACAAATTTTAAGGGTTAATTTTGCATATGAGAATCCCAACTGCCCTTTCCCTTTAATAATTCACGACACATAATGTTTGATGGAGGAGTTTCAGAGGCTCAGTTTGATATCGATCTGGCAAGATTTATATTAACATAAAGCTAAGTAATTAAACATGATCAAGGATAACAAGTTTAGTAATGTCTTTTTTGCGAAATTTTTTTTTTGAATTAAAGTTAGTCAGGAGGCTTATATAAACCCTAAAGAAAGCTTTTGTCTGAGACTACCAAGTTTGCCATTACTCATTCAAAACCATTTACAAAGAATAATGTCAAAATTCTTTATTAATGATTATTAAATGAAAAATAAAGAGCATATCTTTTTTGTGTGGTTCATATACCTATAAATGAACATGGTTTCCTATAAATAACGTTTTTTCTGTTATATATCAACTACAGTAAATCACCTTTTATTCACAAGATCTCTATTTCATAAAAAAACTACGCGAGATGATGTGCTCGCGAAAATTTCATTCACGCGCTTATTAGAATCCCTTCAGATTATACAGAGCAAAAAAAAAACTCCATACAATTCGCGAAAATATTGTCTCACTTATAAAAAAAATTAATTAATAACTATCTTGCGGAAATAAAGTGTCGCGAAAATTTAGTGATCTACAGTATCTCTTTGTTCAGATTAACAGTAAAAACGCCGTGTCATCTGACGCCAGTTGGTTTTCCACGTGGTTCTCAGACGTGTTCAGTGGTGTTTGAAAGCTGTGAGTAAAATCTTGGCTGAGTTTTAAAATACATTAATAATTGTATTTCTCACTCGTAAATTCGTCCAAATCTTGAGTTGTTACTCACTTATTGATTAAACATGTTTTAAAATGCTATAATTTTCCTACTTATGACCATTTCAATAAAATTTCATTTGTCATATGTAGATAATTACATTGAACTTAAAGGTAATACAATTATATATTTTAGACTCCTATACAACTTCGGAAGTGAACATGATTTGGAGAAAATTTGATCCCTTCGAATTTAAAGACGATTTTTCTACCAGTGGTTTGATTATTAGCAGTGTCAAACAGAAGGACTGTCACCAAAAATCAAGTAATGGACATAATCATAACATACAGAAAAGTTAAATCATGATTTTAAGAAAAGGAATTTGGTTTGCAATGAATTATTAAGCTCAAAGATATGCTGACTTTTCCTGTAAGAAGAACGTATTGGGGTGATCAGAGGGAATCGATCTCAAAAGGAAGAATTGCATAAACATGTATAGCTACTTTCACAGAAACCATGTCTTATTTGAAATTGATATCGTTGTTTTTACTTCAACAGGAGTATATCCTTGCTTAAAACTTCAATTTGAAATAGAAAGGGACTTCAGCCAATTGATTTTAGTGATCTACGTCCCAAGTGTGTTTTTAGTGATTCTGGGATGGATGAGCATGTGGATTGACAAGAACCAAGTAGCCGCGCGCACCAATCTGGGCGTGTTCTGTGTACTTTCCATAGTAACACAACTAGTGGGCATCTTTGCAATCGAGAAGGAATTGAAAGATGTAATTGCAGTGGATATTTGGATTGCAGTCTGCATGTTCTTTACAATCAAGTCACTTTTTGTGTTTATTTTGGTTCACAACATGAAACGAAGGAAAGATAAACTGAAAGAGAAGTACAAGGTACTCTTTTCACAATTCTTTCAAAATAAATTTACATGTACATATAGTTTATTTCTTATGATATAGTCCTTTCTGATGACTAGAAATAATCTGACAGAATGGGGGTACAAGTTGTGTAGAATGCCTATAGCTTCAGATATTATGAAATCATATTTAATTGTATTATGAAATTATGAGAAATAATGAAACCTTTTCTGAGAGAAAAAAAATCTCAGAAAAAATTATTTTTTTATGGACTTCTAAATTTTTTTTTCTTAATCAAATAATATTTTCACTGTGTGTTTCTAAATTACATCTATATATATAATCATAATCCTTTTCTCTTACTTTTTAATATAGGAAACTTCCGAGACAAGTGATGTGAAGTTTGAAGCTGCTTGTTACAAGATCCCGCACGGAAAATTACAGAATGTGTTTAGAGTTGTCTACCCCATCTTATTCATTGCATTCAATATTGTGTACTGGACATATTTCCTATCTGTAGGCTGAAATGTTAGTTTGATGAAATAACAAATCCACCTCCAGTTTGATCATTTTTTTAAATATAATTTTAGTTACTTATCATATTTTCATATAACTCAATATACATTCTTTCAACTGGTCTTGCTTTATTATAATTAACAAGCATCTCATCCTCTACACCATTCTATTGTCAAATACAAACTGAAATTGGGCTTTAGAAAATTATTTATATTATTTTTTATACTTAAAATTTCTACCCTTGGTCTCAGTTATTATCATCTGAGACCTCAACTGATTCAAACCATCGGCAAATGGTCCTTCACTTTGATTTTAAAGAAAACATTGTAATGGACTAAAAATCAGCCAGGTCTAAGGGCACTATGGATTTATACCTATGGGTGTAAATATAATTCTGCAATTTCATTTGCCAAGTCTTACTATGTCCTATAAGCAAATTTTAAAAGTAACAACAAGACACATAATAATTATGGCAATGGTGTTTAGCATTTTCTCAAATTTCAAACATTTTACCTGTAGGGACATTGTTTTCTAGAAAGTGTACCACATTATATATTCTGGGGGCTTTGAATCCCTTACTTGGGCATTTCAAAAGCTCATCATAGACAACAGAGTAAGTAGCAAGTAGCAATAGAAATTTGAATGCCTACGACTGCTTTGGTTTTCTAATTATTTTTCTCCAGTTCATATAAAAATTAAAGTAAAAATATCAAAATGCTAAGAACTGGGTTTCCTGTGTATCTGAGGTGCTTCATCTTTTGGATCAAATTTTTCCCAGAATTCCTCATCAGGTTCACAAAGACAGGAAGCACATTGAAGCAAGTCATTTATCTGTAAGACTTTGAAATGTTCATACTCCCTCCCACTTTCCTCTTCAAAGTCTGTTGTTGTAGAGTTCTGAAAAATATTGTTAAGAAAAGAATGTCAGTAAAACATTCAAAATATCTTATCATCTACACTTTATATACTTTATCTATATATCTTGTTTAATACATATTACCATAACAGAAAAATATTGTTCCAGGTAAATTAATGTTGTTTAATTTTTGTTATGTTTGTTAATTACACCAATTTTTATCCAATCTAATGGCCATTTTGGAAATGACAAATTAATGCTGATAAGCACAAACTCTTAGTGCCTCCTTCATAGGGTCAAGCCCTAATGAATAAACTGCAATCATTACCATTTTTACTAAATTGCATTTGCTACCCCATGGTTTCTGATCTCTTACTCTCCTTAAAAACCTTGTAATGAGGAGAGTAGTGGATTAGAAATCCTTGGCTAGTGAGATGTAATTAAACATAAAGGCAACCGCTAATGATATCACGCAGCTTAATGATACCAAAAGCATTAAGTGTTGCAACTGCACTGCTTAATGCAATTAATTATCGCATTAATGGTTGACCTATTCAACCACTAACGCTAAATTGCCACTCAATGAAAGAAGTATATCATTAAGCAGATGAGTAAGCAGATGAGTATTTCAACTATTAATGCAATGATTTATGACATTAAGCATTGCATTGCAACACTAAATGATATTTGTTTCATTTAGCAGCATTATATCTTTAGCGTTGAGCATGAAGGAAGTGCATACATGTGTACATGAAAACATTGCTGTAACCTCACCTGCTGATTGTTTGCCACAACAATACAGTGGTTGTCCATGGTGTGTTCCTCGAATGTCCACTCAGGAAGATGCACTCCATCGACTTTGAGAGACGTGTCTTTTGTCACTACATATTCTTTTAAATACTCTGTATTAAATGTAAAATCTAGTCGGCTGACTTCAAATCCAATTCCCACACCCAAAGCTTTGACATAGCTTTCTTTAAGGCACTAAAAGAAGGAAAAAGTAACATTTATTTTTGGAATTTGCTTCGTTTTAACTTACCAAAACCTAAAGCTCTGGTGTGAGCATTTCCAGATCTTTCAAAACATGCACAAGGTATGCACATTTTAAGTATGTAAGCCCTTGCACCAACTGTTCAAAAGTTATAGCCAAAAATAAAGTTTGGTAAAATTTTCCAAAAGAGGGTCAAACTCCAAGGTCAAGAGGTCAAATATGTTTGTACCCAAAGAAGGATATAGACATTGGAGCTGTATTAGTACTTTACCCAGAGTCGATAGAATGTTTTCAGCTGTTCACTTTCCTCTGTTGATTTTCGTATCTGACTCCATTCAGGTTCTGTGAACTGTCGTCTCATTGTATGAAAGAATTTTGGCACAGATGTTCCTGTAAGATTAAACAAAAAAGTATGATAATTTACATGCAATTAAATGCATGCATAGATTTTGAAAAATTATTAAGTACATATGCACCAAAACAGTACTCTACCTACGGACTTCATACTTCATGACATCTACACCAATGGTTCCATTTCTGGAGGCAGCCAACACAGCGTAATCCCCATTGTGAGATACATTAAAACTCAGGCTTCCTTGCACTGTGTTAACTAGATATGGTTTCCCTTTCTCTGTTCTCCCAAGCTTTATTTCTTTGTATGGTATTTCTAGGCAGTATGCAATGGCTTTACGAATCAAAAGTCTTCCAGCCTGAAACATTGGTGACTAAATAATTGCTGTCCTTAAAAATCTACACCTCAACACCCCCCCCCCACCCACCCAACAAATGTTCTATATATATGAAGTGAGCAGCCCTTATCTTCAAAGATATTAAAGTTAATGCATGCATAAATACTTTTACCTTTTTTAATAACTAGGGTTGATCAGACAGGAAAAAATTGACAATTACTAAATGCACAAAGTTATGATAAATTTGTTATTGAGGTTAACAAGTTTTAATTTAAAAAAATTCTACATTGGTATGTTTGTTAAAGACAACTAGTTTACACCTTAAATTAGATAAATAATATGCATGAGGAGTGAAACAAAAATAAGAATTATATACGCAAACACTAATAAAAGTAATCAAAATCATTCATACATATATCCATTTACTTTTATTTAAACACTCAATTCTACAGCTTCTATATATATATATAGAGAGTTTTACCATTGCAGCTTTAGCATCTTTCTTGAAGACGAATCTTTGAATCCTTTCTTTCTCCTCATTCTGTATACACTGTCCACAAAAAATCCATTCTGATCTTGTTGGCTGCCAGGAACGGAAATTGAAAGCCCATTTTATCATTTTCTAGCTTTTTGTATCTTCGTTTCTCCTTTGAAAGAAAAAACATAATCATTTTTATTTTCTAAGACAAACCATATCATTCCTGTCATCTCTACAATCAGTATAAAAGCATGTCGTATGAGGAGACTTTTGTGTTGTCTTTTTGATACCAGAGTGCTTTTCATGCATGAGTGAACACACTGATCAAGCTATATACCTTTATCAGGGTATTGTGCTGGACCTGATTACCACTGACTTTTCTGCTGATTTATTATGTACTTAATGTGTATCACTCAATTTTACTGTAGATTTACCGCAATCATGTGACGTCGTGATCCGACTTTCCGGATCACCAACATGTTGTTTTCTGAATCCATATCACCACTCTCTATATGTTTATGATTTTGAAGTTCGCAGAAATATGATGTTATTTTTCTTGCACGTTAAAAAGTCCCTTGTAATTATGCTTTGTTTAATAGATTAATATTATACAATTGATCTCTGAAGGTTTATTTTAATTTATTTAGCCAGTTATAAGGGGGTATATAATAGATTTATCATTAAAAAGATAATTTAGTTTACTGCTACCAGATACTATGTTGCACTGGGAAGATATGAAAGGCAACGCTTCGCGTTTTGCTCCATATTTCAATCCGCGCCTGTAACCAAGAAGTGATACGATGTGAGATCAATGTTACTGTTATAATAACATATATTTTTTTTACACAACCATATTTTGCACTTTCTTGTCTTTATTTTCTTTTATCTTCATAAACAGCTTCAAAACTCTGCTCGCCGAGTGGAAAAGCTGAATCAACCATGAAATGGTACGATGTGCTAATCCCGAAAGAAGTGTGTGTCTGTGTGTGAATTTTCTTTTATCCCTTCATAAGATTCTGCTAGGCAAAATTTGGACTGACGTCGCAGACGGAAAAGTCCAAATATCTAGCCTAGCAGAATCTCAAAAGGGATTATGTGAAAGTCATACAGAAAACGTCCAGAAGCCAGTACAACAAAAAATGTCTTGGTAGGAACATGTACGGTATTTTCTTTAGCTAATCTCAACATAAAAATCACGAAAAGGAGATGAAAAGTTTACTTACTCGACGACTTGATGACAAGTCTTATAATTCATGTAGGAAATACGAAAAGGCCAGTACAACACAAAATTTCTTGGTAGGAAAATGTAATTCCGGGAGAAGGCGAAGTTTTTGATATAGGAAAAAAATGATTAAAGTACACAGTTATAAAATAATGATAAAATGAATAAAGATGAATAAATAAATTTTTAAGTTTAAAATTTTTTTAAAGGGGTGGAGCAAGAGCCAAAGGCGGATCCAGGGCCGGCGCGCCGGGCGTGCGCCCTCCCGTTTGCATTTTTTGTTATTGAACTTTTGTTTGTAATATCCTAAAATCAAAGTACAAAACAACTTTTATTTATTAGTATTTCTTCATTTTTTCCCGGACCCAGCATATTCAACATCATCGACCAAATTACGTCATTCCGTTTCACTCACAAACAAACCCACACACACTGGTGACACTACTGCGTTTCTATATCCCCTGCATCAACAAAACTGTGATCTTTTATTTGATCAAAAGATTGCAATCAGTCTAAACTGTAGAAGGAGCCTTTCAAAAGAATTTTACAGGCATTTCTATCTTTAGTAACCACGACAATATCCTTAATTTATCGAAATTAACGATTTGCACTAAATTATGTACATGTATCTTAGTCTAGTCTACTTGTGTGCCAAGTTATACTGCCTGTCGGAGGAATAGCGTTTTGAATGCATTTCTCGAATATTTCTATTTTTAGTCACCACGGCAATACCGTTCATCGAAATCAAAAACCTATGAAAAGAATTATGTATCTGAATGTAGTCTACTTGTGTCCCAAGTAAAATTGAAATCAGAACAAAACTCGGGGGTAGCGTTTTTAAAGTATTAAAAAAAATCTATTTTAAGTAACCACAGCAACATCACTCATCGAAATCAAAGTACGGAATAATGAATCTTAGTGTAGTCTGATTTTGTGTCAAGTTAAAATGAAATCAGGCCAAAAACCGTAGGAGGATATTGAAAAACTGTTAACATACACACAGACGGACAGATGACAGACACGTTACTATTGCATAAGATCTTCTGATCTCTGTCCAGTAGAGGTAAAAATGAGAGTTTCTAGAGTTGGTGTAGAAATGTTTACTTAGAAAAAAGTAAGGGAAATACATGTATACAGTACAATTACAAAAATATGCTTTTAAAAAAAATTATTAAAGAAACATATGTTTCAACTGTTCGAGTCAAATTAGTTAAACTAATCCCTGTTGGGATTCTGCTGAGCAAGATATTTGGACTGACGTTCGCAGAATCCCTGACAGTCACCCATAAATTATGTCTGGACATTAACATAATGCAGAGGAGATAACTAAGAAAGATATATCTTTCTGAAAATCTAAAGAGACATCTGTCTAATTTAAAAAAATAATTTCTTTTAAGCTTGTTGAAGAGATATCTCTCTAACTTTATCTCTCTCGTAATTTATAAAGATATCTCTCTAAGGTATAGATATTTCTCCTGATCAAAGAGGTATATCTTTTAGTTAAAGAGCTATCTCTATAAGTTAAAGGGATAACTCTCTATGCTAAAGAGATATATTATATCTCTCTTATTAAAAGAAATTGAAAGATTTTTTTTTAATTTCACGAATAAATAGTAGAAAGGCTTGCCATAGAAAGATTGAAAATCTATGTGAATCAACTGAAAATAAGTATACCGAAAAGTAATGGCATATATCGACGTAGGTAATATTCTTGCTGTGCAGCGAAAGACAATATTTCCTATTTTTATCCTGCGTTTAGAAATGTTTAAAAGTTTAGCGGAATGTCATTAAATGTAATAAAATACGACATACATCTATTAAATGCATTTCATTCAATTTTTGAATAGTTTCATAAGACTTTAAAAACGATTTAAGTGGACCATAATACATGTATTTCAAAATGTTTATATAAATCTGCAATTCATTTTCTCAACAACTCATTGACAACTTAAACTAAAGCCGCCTTACAGCCTACTATTCTGAAAAATAAATCTGCGAATTTTTAGTTCTAACTTTTGATCTGGAATATTGCTAATGTGTAAAAAGCCAGTTGAAGAAAGTATCATTGTCTTAAAGTTTCAATACATGGGCAGTTCATCTGAAATACAGTTTGGAGCTGTTATGAAAAAGGAATGTTTTCATTTCGAAGGAGGAGTCACTTTTATAAATCACGGATCTTATGGTGCAGTTCCATTGAAAATACGAGAAAAACAGAAACAGTGAGTACATGTAATATTTGAAATGGAAGGCAAACAAATTTCATATACACAGTCAATTGACCTGTTTTCAATGAAAATGGGGGATACTGGTATTTTTATTGGCCAGTCTGTCCGTCCTTCCCAGCGTCCATCCGTCTGTCTGCCTGTCATTATATCTTTAACACATTCGTTTCCGGACGATATACGAGGGCTGTTCAATAAATAATGTCCTGAACTGTATGACATACAATACAGATATCATATGACATTAAGCTTGACTTTCTCTCATTATTTAATCTTAAATGAATTTATGACAGTTAATTTTCATCACATAGTTTCATTGTGAGAAGCTGGAAAACAAGGGCTATTCGAGACACTGCATTATAAATGAATGGGAAGAATAAGTAAACTAGAGTGAAAATAAAAGCTTCATTAAAGCTGCTGTAAAACTTGTTAAAAATCCCAAAGAATTATTCACTGAAATATGTGACATTTACAGCAACCAATGCCTGTTTTTAATTATAGACAAATGACAAGGTGGATTTCAATGATACAAAATTATTTAATGGGCATCAAAAACGGGTACCTCCTTGCCAACAAGAATTTATAAAAACGTATGGGCTGTTTACCAAATTTCAACAAATAATATTTGATGATGTATGATTGACTTTAAGACACATAGCAAATTTGATAGACATCATTTCGGAAGTAGCTTACACTGCTTTTAAGAAACGTTTGCCGGTGTAAAGACGAATAATGACCCCCATCGAATAATGACCGGGGGTCATTTTTCGACAGCGAAAAATGACCCCCGGTCATTATTCGACGTAGAAAAATGACCCTTTTGCCCGTAGAAAAAGTGTCACTTCCCCAAAAATTTGCAGAACCCACGTGAAGAAAAATGACCCCCGTAGAAAAATGACCCCCTGTAGATTAAAGCTAAAATTTTTAGGGGGCAAAAAAATTGGATAAATAAGCATATTGGCCAAAATGCTCACCTGAGCTTATTGGGAATAAACTGACGATGTGTTGATCTCATAACATTATACAATTATAGCTAAATTTTAAGGTAAATGCAATGATTCAGAATCTAAAGGAGTAAAAGATTTATCAAGCCTTAAGGGTTAGGTAAACATTGTTTTTTGATGGTGGAAATCATCGAACTGACAGAAAAAAATCAGCAGTATAATATATAATTATATCCTCCGCTTGAAAAGCGGGAGGGTATATAGTGATTGGGATGTCCGTCCGTCTGTTACGCTTAAAGGTATCCATCTCTTATCCGCAAATCCTCATATATAAAAAGATGTGTTTGTGAAACAGCTATGCCCCTGTATGGCAACATAGCGAAGATTAAACTTTTCTTCAATGCAATTTAAATATATTGTTACCCAAAGTAGGGTCTTCTCACAAGAAATACAACTGCAAAATAGGAAAGCCCTAGCACCACTTGTTCAAAAGTAATGGCTAAAGATAAGTTTTTGAAAGGTAGATCAAACTCAAAGGTGAAAGTTGATGAATTCTTAAGAAAATGTTTAATGTAACAAGGATAACATATGTGAAGTATGAATACCCTAGCCCTTACCGTTCAAAAGTTATGGCCAAGGTAAAAAAAAATCATAAATACGGAAAACTCCAAGGTCAAGGTCAAAAGGTCAAGGTTTTTAGTATCCAATGAAAGGTAATGCCAAAAAACTACATATTTGAAGTATGAGAATACTAGTATCCACCGTTTAAAAGTTATGGCCAAAGTAAAAATTTGGCATTTTTGTGTAAAATGGGATAAATTCCAAGGTAAAGGTCAAAAGGTCAAATTTGGTGGTACCCAAAGTAAGGTCTTGTCACAAGGAATATACATATTAAATATGAAAGTCATAGCTCCAATAAATGAAAAGTTATGGTAAAGGTTAAGGTTTTTGCGGACAAACAAACCGCCAGATAGACAGACGGACATACAGGCGAACACGATAAAACTATATACCCCCGAATCCCGGTTACAGGGACATAAAAAGAAATGGTCTTCAATTAACTTTTCATATTAATATGCATTATAAAGAAGACGTTACAACAATGAAAATGTTTGTTCTGATTTTCATATTATATTCTCTGAAAAATATACTCAGAACTGAGTAAAAGGGTGGAGTAAAACAAGAATTAAGGTAGAACCTATGTCGGAAAAGTCTTTGTCACAAGATTTTCAAACTTTTCAAAATGATAAATTAGTACTTGCTTATCAATCAGTTAAGATATCATGATATGTTTCCTTGCTTTTTAATCTAGAACAGGCTGTGAAACTTGGTATGGTATTTACATACTGCGACTTCACATTTTCAAATATTTTTAGGGGTATTTGTCATAAAGGGAATATATAAAATCACAAAAATACTTCCTCAAACATCGTCGTTTATAAACTTTTTTAACTGAATAATATTAAACAATATTTTATCAAGAATAATTTCTTTTTTATTCAATTAACATAAAAGATAAGTCTACCATTAAAAAAAAATAGTCAAATGAACTCTATTCTTTTTAGTCAATTATTCACCCTATATTTGTAAATATTTTTAGACGTCTTTGTCACAATGTTTTCAATCTTCAATATGATGGAGAACATAGCCGAATGATTACAAAAAATGATTAAAATACCGGGTATATACCTTTCCCCTCTAACCAATGAAAGATAGGCCATTTATCGATACTCATATTCTTGACCTTTTTGCACTTACACGGGATTTAATAATTAAATGACTGTTTGGGGTTACTTTCAGATTAATTATTTATCAGAAATTGTACTTTTTCTTTAAAAAGATTATATTTAATATAAAAAATCTAATTAAACACCAAAAATATGAATAGGTAACAAATAATTGTTAAATGGAATGCACATCATTTCATTATAGATATCACAAAAATGTACACACGATCAAACGATCTACAACACGTACATCTTTGACTTAGACACATTTCATCAAGATGTTACACTATATAGCTGGCAACTAAAGATTTCTTACGATTTATGCATTCCTTCAAAATGGTTACATACCATTCAAATTATTACGAAAGTTGTATGTACATTGTAATTTCATTACATTGGATAGTCTTGAGTTTGTCAACTTCAGGTCTAGATAGATCTAGTAAATAAAAGGTGCCTACATATTTTCTCTTATTCCAGAAATATATTGCCATTAAGCATTACAAACCAAAAAATATATGAATTGAATCAAGATTATGTTGGCATGATTAAATTCTGTGAATTTCAAAATGCAGTATTTTCTACCATTTTTATTAAAGCTGTCAAGTGCGGGAAAAAGTGGCATTGAATTAATTATGACATCTTAATGGGTTAGCACAGGTTTAACACATTTACAAGTTATGATGTCATACGAAGTAGGTTCTACTCTCTCTAATGAATACTGTGTGCTAAATCAAAAGTTTATGTCTACATGTATAGTTTTTGCATTAGAATGACTGTGTATTTTACACTAGCCCATAGCTTTACAGAGCATATTTTTACCCCACCCCCTTTCTTATTTAGGAGGAAGTCGATATTGAACAAAAGCAAAAAAAAAAAAACAAAAAAACACCCTACTTTTATTTTTCTATAAGAAGGAATTAAAAATAAGCTAAAAATAATCTACTATTCTACTATTTTTTAACTGTTACTTTGCCACAATACTTTCAAGTATACCTCCACCAACATTGAAAATATTCTTTGATCATGGCGACGAAAATTATGATATGATAGTACTTGTGTGAAGGCTTAACTTCATTTCAATACTTTATCTTGAGCCTCTTTCAGAATTATTGAAAGATATAGAGTTTTATTTATTTTTTGCTTTTATTTATTATTATTTTTTTGTTTTTATTTAACGTAATGTTCTTTTTTTTGGGGGGGGGGATAAAAATTTCTTCCTCTTTCATTGTCAAATAGGATTTGCCAAACTTATACAAGCTAAAAGTTGAAATGGAGGAAAAATTAATTTTTCCTATTAAAGAGTATTTAAACCTGATTTTTTGCATGGTTTGATTTCTAAAAACAAGTGGAATATCATTCTTTAAGCAAACATTATAAGGAGGAATATTAAAAAGAAATTTTATTTTCTTGACAATTAAAGAATCTCTTTTCAAACACAATTTTAGCATTGAAAGACTACGTGAATCTCTTGATTATTTCATACGACTTTTTGTATTTTTCTGGTTACAGAAAATGTAAAAATTAGTTTCGCTGTAAAAAAGATATCAAAGAGTGTATATTTTGTATCACTTTAAAGGGGGTCATTTTTCAATGGGGGTCATTATTTTATAGGACTAACATATAAAATAATGACCCCCTAGGACCCTTTTTCTACAAAAAATGATTTTTTTCTACGGGTGGGGGTCATTTTTTGTCGTTGAAAAATGACCCCCCGGTCATTATTCGATGGGGGTCATTATTCGTCTTTACACCGGTAAAAAAGCTTAGAACTAAGGTCACCCTATATTTTGAAAAATGAGTGAAAACGACAGCGTGTACGAATGCCTTAACAATTATTTTAAAATATCAGTAATTGTACTTATCCACGTTTGTTTGATATTCAAACAGATAATGGAACTTGAATCTATTGCTTAGAACCCTGAAAACAAAATTCACCATAAGATGTACTTGATAAAAACAGCGAAGGTCTGGACAAGAGCAAAGAATTGCAAGAGCACAAAAACAGATTTATATGCAATTCTCGTAAATATTAGTGGTATTGTTGTTCAAATGCGTATTCGGGGAGACAGTATAATTTCTGGAGGAGGTTAGAAAGCAAATTTTTTGCAAAAAATTCAAATTCAAAAGGTTTATTAGAGGAAGGACCCAGAATCTGGAATCTAATACATTAAATTTCTTCATGACAGCGTCCAAACCTACAAGCCCTGAAGAGTATAGGGGTAAACAGAAAGTTAATGTTTTTTCACATTAACAATATTCGCCAGATCTTTAACCCTTTGAAATGTTTCTATTTCCAAACTTGAAAAAACACCTTTCAGAAGGAAGAAACAAGTCCAGGAAATCATTGGATCTGCCATTTTCCAGTATACTAAGGGTCATACCCAAAAATGAGTTCTAAAAACAATCAGAAATTGGATAAAAAATGTTACGGACATGCGTTTTAATTAAAAGAGGTTAATAAGTTAAATCATGAAGACTAAATCATTGAAAAGAGTCTTTTTTTTCTTTCCGAGCACCAAGGACATTATTTACTGAACAGCCCTCGTATATCAAAACGCCTTTAAGCTTTTGCAATAAAATTGTATACCCCGGTATCAAAACTACCTATGGCTTTTGATTTTGAGGTCCAACGCTCAGGGTCACAAATTAATACAAATTCTGTGTTTTACTTTCGGTTCTTGAATATTTCTTAAAAACCATCTGATTTTTATATCACAACTCCTTATGACCTTAAGATTTTGTTGTCAAAAGATCAAAGGTCAAGGTCATAAGTTCATTCATTGCAAATATGCAAATAACCATTTCTAAATGATAACTAAAATATATTTTTTTAAATTTCTCAATGGAATTTAATATCACAACCCCCTATGAAATAAAAATGATCAATACTGATTTTTAGGTAAAAAGATTAAATGTCAATAGGTCAGAGAAATTCACACATTCTGTATGATTACATGTAACACTTTTTCCGGGCGATATTTTGAAAGGCCTTTGAGACTTTGTAATGAAATTTTATACAAGTATCACAACTCCCTATTGCTTAGAAAATAAACTAATCGAATTTGAGGAGTAAACGGTGAAATATTAAGGTCAGAAATTCATATATTGCAAAATATGCATTCCAGATGATAACGTTAGCTCTCCTTCTGCTTTTTCGATGAAATTATGTATCATAACTCATAGTTACTTTAAAAAGTCATCATTTCGATGTTTAAGTCCAAAGGTCAAAGTCAGCTAGATAAATTCACACAATATAAAAAAAATGGCTTCCAGATGATAACTTTAGTTTTGCTTGATCTTTTTCTAAAAAAAAAAATTCTTTTGATATGTAGGTGAAGGGGTCATCTGATTAGGAAATACTCAAACTAACTTTAAGAGTTAGGCAGAAATATTTTCCGTAGTATTTTCTCAATGAAAAGAAAAAATGCAATAAAAAAAAATTTTACATTCACTCTTTATTATTACTCATTACTATGACTTTATTGATTGATTGATTGATTGTATACTGTTTAACATCCCTCTCCAGAATATTTCACTGATCTGGAGACGTCACCATTGCCGGTGAAGGGCTGCAAATTTAGGCCTATGCTCGGCACTTACGGCCTTTGAGCAGTGAGGAATCTTTATCGTGCCACACCTGCTGTGAAACAGGGCCTCGGTTTATACGGTCTCATCCGAAGGACCGCCCCATTTACTCGCCTTTTACGACAAGCAAGGGGGTACTGAGGACCTATTCTAACCCGGATCCCCACGGGGCTGACTTTATTATAGTACAGAATAGTGAATAAGTGAAAACCTATTGTCCATTTTTCCGTTCAATCAAATTTTGGTAAGATATCAGAGTTGTACATAAATCTAGTCATTAATGTTAATCTTTAGTATATGTATCTTGCAGTATATATACGATCTCAACTTGGTTCAGTATAAAAAAAATATTAATCCAAAATGATAGGAGATGATATCTCAATCTTTCAGAATATTAAGCCATACATTTTCTATTTTTATTATAGTCATTATGTGTTGATTGACATAGAAAAACACAATTAACAAAATCCTGAAATGGAGCTCCCAACTATACTGAATGGATATCATGCAATATTAACATTCCGTGTACTTTTCCTTATGAAATTCATTAGAAATCCACGACATTCAAATTTCTATAACACACACGAAACTTAGTCTCGTTCATCCAGACGCTCAGCTGTCTCCGTAAACTCCGTCTCGTTCAACCAGACCCTCGGCTGTCTCCGTAAATCTCCGACCACCCAGAGGGTCTGGTAAAGATACGTATTATCGTTTGTGACGCCAAAACGAGGCTTACCGAAATTCTGGTAAAGTTTTTAATTGGCTGAAAAGAACACACCTACACGATGTAAGTAAATACATGATAAATCAGCAGAAAAATAACTTAAAGATGTAAAAGTTATATGTCTAAAAGTTAAAGATGTTAGATAGGAATTGTTTACGGTAGTGCCAACCAGTTATAGGTAAGTGTGTTTTATTATGTCTTGCAGATATTCTGTACGAAAGCAAAAGTGAAAGTAGTGTAGCCTTACCTGCGTATTACACATTCCTTCGATTGATATTGTAATTTCTCGTTTGGGGTCCCAAATTTAGAATAGTTTATTAATATAAAGTCACAATCCAGAAGAAGAAACACATTTAATATTCGTTTTCAAAAAGGATCTTCAAAATGAAAACAAGATAGCGCCCTCTAACGGTTACAAACGCTTACGTGATTCTTTACCAGACTCTCTGCTGGTCGGAGTTTACGGAGACAGCCGAGCGTCTGGATGAACGAGACTAACACGAAACTTTGTCACCGCGCGTTAGAATACACAGTAGGAACTACATTGTATATGCATTATTCTATAATCTGGGAACACCAAAATGTACAATGTTTCGACTCAATTTATTTAAAACTATAATCCTGTTAAATTAAAGTAAAAATACTACAAATGGATTAATTTGTCACTTTTTTTTCTTCGCAATGTTTGTTTGCGTTATTTAACTTTGCAACGTCATCTGACGTCACAATCGGCTCTTACATCTTTTAACCGCGTCAGTTTTGAAAGGCATTAAATTCACATTCAAAATTAACGATATAAGCAATTATGAAGAAGGAAAATTAGAGAATGTTAATATAAGCATTGAATTCATATTTTTGTCTGTCTTCGGTCCTATAACACACCTGGCCGTGCCGACAAATTTATCATACCGCGCTAACGCGCGTTATTCAATTTGTCGGCACGGCCAGGTGTGTTATAGGACCGAAGACAGAAAAAATATGAATTCAGTGCTTAAATGTATGTCCATATTTCAAATACATATAATGTATACAGTAAAACTTGATTAATCATGGCACAACTGTTCCATTGAAATATGCCAGATTAGACAAAATTTAAAACTACATGTATTGAATTTACTGAGAGGGAGTTATAGTTAACATCGTTTTATGCAAGCTTTCGGAAAACACAATACAGTAAAACTCGTATAGTATGAACACAGAAATTGCGAATTCACGGATATAGCGAAGTTGTCTTGGATCCCCAGCTATATAAATTTAACCAATTCCTTAAACGAAAATAACGAATTACGGATATAGCAAAGTAATTTCACAGGTCCCGGCGACTTCGTTATAACCGAGTTTACTGTATTAAACAATTTTCACTTTGTTTTGTTTTTAATACAAAAACAAAATCGTGCAAGAAAATCACGTACACTTAACTTAAAACTTAATATAGCTTTAGTTGTCACGTGTATGAGAGGTACTTCTTATACTTTTACATGTATTTTTATTTCGATGTTCTGTATCGTACAGATTATTGGATGAGGTAAATGATAATCCCGATGAATTCTACCGACTAAAGGAACATGATCTTTATATGAGCGCCAGAGATGCTGCAGCAAAATTTACAGGGGCGGATCCTGAAAATTTGTTCTTTGTACAAAATACAACGACTGGTTAGTATAGTTATTAGTACTGTATAGTACACTTGGTTAAAAGTTTTTGGTCAGAGTCTTATTAACATAACATAAAAAAATCTATAAAATGATGATGACAAATGTAAATCCATCAAGATTCGGATTAATAAAATTATTTGCTCGTAAAACAATTTTAAGGTGTAAACAGTGTCCTGAAATCCATGGAGTGGAAGAAGGGTGACGGAATCCTAACGACTGTGTTTACCTTTAGAGGGGTTGCGAATGCCTGTCAAAGAGTGGCCGAAATTTCATCGGGTGAGTTGATAAATGATTCGACTTAAAATGAGTCTTGTCTGCTTAATGGCTGTGTGATGCGTACAGTGTGTGTGTCTGTGCTTGTCACTTTCGCTTTCAGCCCACCCCTGGCTAGAAGTTCGCAAAGAGTTAGCAAAATATGTAAGTTTTCTCTGCCAGGTAAAGCCTCTCCGCAGTTAGACCTATGTGGCCCAGATATGGGATCCTTCTCGAGGTAGCAGATGGAAATAGGATACCTTGCAATCCCAAGCAGAATCACAGGGTCTTGAAGAAGACTAGGCCCCTAAATGCACGGTATGCATGGCCCACTGGCGTGTGGATATATGTATGCCTTGATGCCTGCAATCCTAGTCCCCAGCTATGGATCAAATAGCCGCACTGCTTAGTGTGAAGGCTTGGAAAAGTCAAAGGCTTAATCCAGACAGAAAATCCGTAAAGATGAGCACAAAAGCAACTGAACGCAATCATCGAAGGGAAGGACAACTTTGAAAGAAAAACCACTGGCCCTCCGAGTCCAGGGGGTTATGCTTAGGGCCAGCAACCCCAACATGACAAACAATGCAGCTTCAGAAAGCTTAACCAAAGTGATGAAAGAAAGATTGATGCCACTCAGGATACTGATAGTATGACGAGGTGAAACCCCCACCCTGATAGGAGATGTCCTTCGATCAAAAATAATACGTAGAGTTGGCTGCTGGAACGTGTGGACCCTCTACCAAACAGAGAAACTAGCACAAGTGGTCAAAGAAATGTTGCATTACAAGATCGAGCTTCTTAGAGTAAGTGAAACTAGATAAACAGGCAAGGGATCAAAACAACTAGTGTCAGGGCATCAAATACTCTACTCTGGAAGTACTGACAAACATCATAGTAGAAGAAGTCTATTAGAATGGAAGCCTGTGAATGAACAGATCATAACAACAAGATCAACGCAGCCCTTGCCAAACTTACTGTAGTGGTATGCTATGCACCAACAGATGACGAGAAAGTCTCCTTTTACGACAGCTTACAAGAGATAGTAAACAATACACCATCTCACGATGCTCAACTTACTAGTATCTTGGGAGACTTAAATGCAAAAGTTGGGAAAAGTAACCAAGGAAAAAAAAAGCATAATGGGTAAGCAAGACTTAGGAGAATGTAACGCAATGGAGAGAGGCTGTGCACTTTCTACTAAGAAAACAACTTAATAATTGGTGGGACTATATTTATGCACAAATATATCCATAAGACAACATGGAACTCCCCAGATGGTCATACGAGAAACCAAATTGACCATGTCATCATTAACAAAAGATGGAGAAGTAGCCTCTTGGGTGTGGTTGCAAAACAAGGAGCAGCCGTGGGAAGTGACCACTCATTAGTATTGGCTAAAGTCAAGTTGAAGCTAAGGAAATCAAGGAAGAAAGATCAAATACCGCCTCCTATTAACACCCAAAAGCTTACAGATGCAAAAGTTATGAGATCTTTTCAATTAAAAGTGCAGAGCAAGTTTGTGGCTCTTGTGGAACACCCAGATGAAATTGATATGGAAACATTTAATGAGGTACTATTAGATAATGCACAGCAAATACTTGGCCCAAGAAAGAGGAAAAAAGAGGAATGGATCTCGGAGAATACATGGAAAATAGTAGAGCAACGTAAAGAAAAAGGAAATCCTGTCCACTTACCAGGGTAATCAAAGTGACAAAAATATCAGCTTCAAGCAGAATATCGGACTTTAGACAAAGAAGTTAAGAAAAATGCAAGAGCAGACAGGAAGACATACACTGAAAAACTAGCTAATGAAACAGAAAGCAGCTTCGAAACAATATACCGGTACGCAAACCCTCTATCGAATCACCAAAGCATTAGTAGGTAAATTTCAGACAGCAGATTTACCAGTAAGAGACAAAAGAGGAAATGTCTTATCAAAAGAAGATATACAGAAACGTTGGAAAGAACATTTTGAGGAAGTGTTCAATATAAATGATACAGGAAATGAGGTCCTGATAACACCAGCAATTAACACACTGGATATTAATACAGATCCGCCCAGTATAGAAGAGGTGAAAAGGCAATATGGAAAATGAAAAATGGAAATGCTGCCGGCATTGAACAGATAAATGCAGAGCTCCTCAATGTCGAAGAATATTGGACACCTATCATCTTGATAAATATTCTACAGAACATACGGGAATCAGAAGAGACACCAACCTTCTGGAGAACAGGCTTTATAGTAAAACTTCCAAAAAGGAGACATATCCAATTGCAACAACTATACAGGGATAATGCAGAGTGAACAGAATCACAGACATAGCAGACCCTCTACTGCGGAAAGAACAGACAGGTTTTAGAAAACCTTAGAAGATCATGTGCCGATCAGATATTCACTTTCAATCAAATATTAGAGCAGAGCAATGAATGGAACTCTCCATTTTACATAAACTTTATCGACTTCACAAAAGCTTTTGACAGTGTTAATCGCCTAGCCTTAGAAAAAATTCTCAGTCATTATGGGATCCCAGATAAAATCATTTCCATCATTATGATGTTGTACACAGATATAAATGCCAGAGTTATCTGTGGATCAAACTTATCAGAGAAGTTCAAATTGAAGACTGGAGTAAAACAAAGATGTCTGCTCTTCTCTCTTCATTGACTGGATCATGCGAGAAACCACTTAGAAAAAGCGGACGGGAATTACTTGGGCTATGATAGAGATGCTAGAAGACCTACATTTTGCAGACGACATAGCACTGCTATCACACCGACATCGTGACATGCAAGAAAAAACACAATGAAACATCTGGAGGTCAGCAAAGATCAGCATAAACACCAAAATAGGTCCTCCTATATGGTGCTGAAGCATGGAAAGTTACAAAAAAATTCAAACGATCTAGATACGTTCCAGACAGTTGCCTTCGCAGAATACTAAACATCTTCTGGCCTAATACAATCTCAAATGAAGAGATGTACAAAAAGACAAACACCACCCTTCTATCTCAAGTTATAAAAAAAAAGAAAATAGCTGTGGATAGGACATGTATGTAGAATGCACCAAACTTCCACCCCAAGGGTTGCATTGAGATGGACACCATCTGGCAAGAGAAAGAGAGGAGGACCAAATGAAACATGGAGAAGATCTGTGGAGAAAGAGATCGGAAAGAACAGCTGGACATGGGACAGATCCAAAGATGGACACAGGACAGGCCAGCATGGGAGTCTCTGGTGACGGCCTTATATGTGCTAACCAGCACGAAGAGGATTTAGTAAGTAAAATGAGTCTTAATGTGCCCATTTCTTTTCATGATGTTATATTTGATTCTTTTTTACCATAGGTGTACACATTCATCAATTTGATATAAGGCTCCCCATCAGAGATGAGCAAGAAGTTGTAAAGAGTATGACCGTACAACTTGAAAAACACCCACAGGTCCGGCTGGTTTTGTTAGGTAGGCACTGTTTTATACTTTTCATACTCTAGTTTAATAATCCAGCATAATCACAGATATCTTGATTTACATTAAGAGATATTTGTTGTCGATTTTTCCCCAGACCATATCACCAGCCACACGGCGCTAGTATTCCCCCTGAAGAAAATGATAGAAGAGTGTAGGAAACGGGATGTTTTAGTTTTGATAGACGGTGCGCATGCTCCAGGCCAAGTAGAACTGAATTTGGAAGATCTGCAGCCTGATTTCTATACAGGGAACTTCCAAAAGTGGTTATACGCACCTCGTGGATGTGCAATACTCTGGATCTCTAAGAAGCACCACGACTGGTGTACACCACTTGTGACGTCATTAACGCGCGATAATATACCATATTTTATAGTACCAGATGTGTTGGATTTCTACAGGCTGATTGGAGGAATGGTAAATTAAATAAAATGCAATTAGGCTACGATAGATTTGATAGTCATTCAATTACTGTATAAACACTTTTTTTTCAACGGGGTAAAATTCCTTAGATCCACAATCTTTGTTTAATCTGCGGGTAGAAAATTTCACGGATTGCTTTAATCGCCACTGTCTTTCTTGTCTGCACTTTGCTTAAAAAACCGGTAACTGCGTTCATAGCATATTAAAATCCAACGCGAAAAAAGTATTAGTCTACAGTATCTCTGTTTAAAATGAAATCACGAAACTTTGTTTTTGGAAGGAAAAGATTCATCGGTACACTGGACCTCTTCTGGAGAAGGCGTGTTCCCTGATAGCAGAACGACTGGGGACCACGACACCCGACATACCGAAAACAATGGCGGCTCCCAACATGAGATTGATCTTATTACCAGAATATAGAGATTATACAGCAGAGACAGAAGTTAGCATTAATTTACCCTCCGCTTTTCAAGCGGTATATAATTGGTACATGTAACAAGATATATGCAGTGATAGGATGTCTGTCCTTTCGTACCACATGAGGTAGCAATCTCTTATCCACAACTGCTTCTATACCAGTGAATAAAATATAATAAGACTATAACAATGTACCAGTGATGTGTGTGCATCTCGTATGTTGCAACCACTACTTAAATAACGACCACTATTGAAATAATTATTCCAATAGTTGTTGAGAGTCCATTTCAAAACCAAACACAGGTAAACAGTTGTAACAACTATTGAAATAACGTTCATATTGAAATAACGATCGTATTGAAATAAGGTTCATTATTGAAAGAATTATTTCAATAATAGTTGAGGGTGCATTTCAAAACCAAACAAAGATTGCAATCACTATTGAAATTACGTTCACTATTGAATTAACTATTTCACTAGTGACTGAGAGTGCGTTAAATCATTAAACTCAACACAGGCTGCATCCACTATTGAAATTACGTTCACTATTAAAGCATTGATTTCAACAGAAGTTTTGAATGCATTTAAAAACTTAACCATGTTGCAACTACTATTGAAAGAAAGATTTCGATAAAGATTTATATAATAGTTTCAATAGTGATTAAAATAATAATTTTCTCAATCAATAGTGATTGAAATAACCTCACTATTTAAATATAAGGATAACTTTTTCATCACATTTTCCAACATGATAAATTAATTTATGGTGTTTAAAATATGATTTATAATTTTTTGTTTTCCTTTCTTTTCTAGAAATCCCTATTTTATCACAGTCATCTTTGATTTGAGTGACGTACCTAAAATTCACACAGAGTATGCAAACCTTATATGCAAGCTTCCACTGAATCTGGCCGACTCGGCGAAAATAAATTCAAATATGCAAGTTTTTAGTAATTTTGATAAAAGTTAAGGTTCAACATTGCCATTGTTTTTGAAAGGAAAGAATCACAAATAAAGATTGTTGTATAAATTACGATATCTACATAATAAGAGGAAAGAAGACTGATATCTATGTTTACACATGCACTTGCAATTGCTGATGAAGATATGATTATGGTTATTGTTTTTAATGCAAAAGAATATAGAATATAACTAAATTCTTGCTTATTTTGATTGGCTTCCCTAAGCTTCAAATATGGATAATAATTCAAGCGTCTACTCATTAGTAAATTAGTTAAATCACAGATATCCATGTACGAGTATTAAAAGTATTTTAGATTGAAATTAAAACATAAAATTACATATATTTTAAACTCAATAAATTAATTATGTTGGAAAGATAATGAAGACTTTATCCCCCCATATATATTTTTTTCAATAGTGTTTATTCAATAAGGCTTGAAATGTGATCTTGGTAATGAAATCATTGTCAGCAGCTTATATTTACATTTGCAAATGTTTGTCCATATACGAGTATAACACTATTTGAACGTAATTTGATCAGGTGACCAACGCGTTTTACACCCCAATAAACTAAAAAAGAATGATAGCTAACCTTATTTCTTAATTAAAATCACTACATGTACTCGTATTTAAATTACTATTGAAATCATAATTTCAGTCAATATTGAAATCATTATTTCAATCAAAAATGTTGAACATTATTTCAATTGAGGTTGCAACCTGGTTTAGGTATTGAAATGCATTCAAAACTTCCACTGAAATCATTGTTTCAATCGTGAACTTTATTTCAACTGTTGTTACAGCCTGTAATCTTTCTTAAACTGCATTTTCAACCAATATTGAAGTTATTATTTCAATAGTAAACTTTATTTCAAAAGTGGTTGCAACACTCGAATTTTGTTTTTAATCAGGCATAACATTTTGGGTTTCTCGTTGTAAAACATGGACGCTGCTATTCTTTCTGTTATATGGGGGATATCCATCTCTTATCCGCAACCCCTCCTATAAATACCACTGAATAAAATTTAATTCACTGAATCTTTATTATACATACCAAGTTGTGCCATCCTGCACTTCCTAATTTTTTACTTTTTCACTGGATACATATTTGAGGTTTTCCACATCTAAAAAAAGAAGACTTTAACATTATTACTAATCATTTGTGAGCTCATTGATCACAGTATCTCTAGTTTATATAAATCAGATTAAACTTGTAATATGGGGGGGGGGGGTAAGCACTACCAAGCAATAATTCCTTAAGGGAAAAGAAAGCATCTAATGTAATTATTAATGACGTAATTATTGATGTACTCTCTTGTTTATAATTTGTGTTTTATATTGTATGCTTTATATCGGTAAAACTAGGGGTCCCGCCCCCGTATTCCTCCTCCGGTTCCTACGGCAGTGCAGATGTTGATAAGGGGATAAAAATACTTAATTACCTTAATAACAATTTAAAGTATTTATGAAATGTTTTCTTTTCTTCAGGAAGGAGTGATGTTTAAAGACTTAATGACCAAATACAGAATTAACTGTGCAATATTCCCAGCACAGGGTCAACTCTATCTCCGGTTATCAGCGAACATTTACAATGAACTCTCTGATTACGTAAAAATAGCAGATGTACTGGAAAATTTGCCCAGAAGATAAGTATGGACAATAGATGTTCTATAATGCTTTGTTCTTCCAAGTACCATTTTGAACTTTGAATATGGAATATATTTTCTTGTAACTTGGCAGATGTCTTGTAAATAAGTTACATACTGAAAATATGAACTTTTGATGTTGAATATGCTTTTGATGTTACTCTTGTTGTTTGTTGGGGACACCTTTTTGACATGTTGGTGGCCCATCCATTTTGTTTGTACATAAAGCCCAGCCCATAAACGCCACATTAAAGAATTGTGTTTTGTTATATTGTAATTTTTGTATTTACTACCACAAAGTAAATAAAAAAAATTACAATATTACAGTTTTCTTATTTTCACTTGCTTTTTTGTTGCTGGCATTGTTCAGAGATAAAGATATTGTGTTATAGTTGATAAAAAAAATAATATTCAACATATGGTCATTTATATATTCGAAAATTTGTGACTCATATTCCTTTTTTGTGATTTTATTTGAAAACGTATGATTACTAATATTATTATTGACAATATTGTTATTCATATGCGAAATTCTATGATTTATATTCAAAAAAAAAGTTGTTACTTCATACTTTAAAACTTGTTTTTTGTCTGCAACAACGCATCTTGTATTATTTATTTGTCTTGTGATCCATTGCCAAAATGAGATTTATATTCGAGAAGTTGTCATTAATAGTCTAAAACAGTTATTTGTGTGCAAAACCTTGCAATTGTATGCAATAAACTGATGTCTTATATATTAATTTTTTTGCATAAAACCAAGAATCAAAATATAAGTAATATTTTTTTTACAATCCAGCATTAGTCCTATTCTCGTAAGTAAACTATTCTTGTGCTGTCATATTACTAATAAATGCAGGAACAAATACATGTACTAAAATGTGTTTTTGAAAATTAGCATTTTATTTTAGATGCATGCACTGAAACATTTCAACTGCTTATAGGAACCATGGTGATGGAAAAATGATAATTGTGTCCAAACAGATGTTAGACCGCAGGCACCTGATGTTACTTGTTTTTCTTTTAATAAAAAAATATATTTCTACCTATTACCTGACGTTTCTTGCTTAGGTAAGGGGTATTTTTTTTTTATTAAAAGAAAAATACCCCGGGTAAGTAACGTCAGGTGCCTGTGTGTTGGACGTATAGTTCAGATTGTTCACCTACACGGAAGTCTAGACTGCAAAGATTTTGACCGTGAGAACACAACACGTTCATGATCTTTGATCGTATAAGTGTATCTGAATGCGTTCTAATAACGATAAAAATTGGAAACACTGTAGCTTCTCAATTGAATACTTGATTAAACATTGAAAAAAATGTTTCAGAAAAAGTCTATGAAATTCAGGTACATCAAATTTCATTTTCCGTGATGGCATCACCAAAATTAGACATAGGTTAAAAAACATGTGTCTTGATGAATTTCATATTTTATAAATAAAACAATTTAATTGAAAAAATGACATTTTGAAGAAAAAACTTCGAAGAAAGATCTAGCTGGCAATGGGGTAATGAAAAAAAATTAATTGTAATTTTGTGGGTAATTATAATTACGATTTTCAAGTTATTTGAAATAGTTTGTGATGGAACATATTTTTACAATTGTAAGTAATTTTTATTAAACCTCAGATATCATTAGAATATAGATTTTGGTGCACAGATAACTTATTATCCATAAATTAATTATATGCAGCATTCATATGCGAAATCTTATTTATATTCAAAAAAAAGTTGTTCCTTCATACTTTAAAACTTGTTATTTGTCTGCAACAACTTATTTTGAATTATTCATATGTCTTTTGATCCATTGCCAAAATGAGATTTATATTCGAGAAGTTGTCATTAATAGTCTAAAACTTGTTATTCGTGTGCAAAACCTTGCAATTATATGCAATAAACTGATGTTTTGTATTAAATTTTTTTGGCATAAAACCAAGAATCAAAATAAAATTATATATTTTTACAATCCAGCATTAATCCTATTTTTGTAAGTAAACTAGGTTTGTGCTGTCATGTACATCACATATTTTTACAAATATTGCATAATCGTTTGTGATCTATGTTTAGTATGCTTTGCTTTGTATTATTTGCTGTTTACTTAAACATATTACTTGTTTGGTTATTTTGTCATATGTTGTGCTTTATCTTATGTCTTGTTTGATTATTCTGTCATTTATTTTATTAAATAAGTTACCTCTTCTATTCCTCTACTGAATGTTATGTCTTGTTTTTAATAAGGAAGTTATAACTTATTCAGGTATCCATAAATGTGTTTTTGAAAATTAACATTTCATTTCAGACGTATGCATTGAAACATATCTGCTATTTATTTGAACCATGGTGATGGCAAACTTTATTTGTGTCTAAACAGAAGTTAGACGAAAGGCATCTGACTTTCCTTATTTTTCTTTTAATAAAAGAAAAAATACACCCCTACCTATTACCTGACGTTTCTTATTTAGCTAAGGGGTATTTTTTATTATAAAAAATAAGTAACTTCAGATTGTTCACCTACACGGAAGTCTAGTCAGCAGAGATTAGGACCGTGAGAACACCACATGTTGATGATCTTTGATCGTAAAAGTGTATCTGAGAAGGAAAGTGACATTTTTAATGCGTTCTAGTAACGATAAAAATTGGAAACACTGTAGCTTCAGAACTGAATACTTGATTCAACATTGGGGAAAAAGTGTTTATAAAAGCCAGTGAAATTCAAGCACATTAAATTTCATTTTCCTTGATCGCATCACCAAAATTAGAGATGGGTTAACAATAACATGTATCTTAAGGAATTTAATAATTTTTTTTAATAAATAAAACAATTTAAGAGAGATCTAGGAATGGGGTAATTAAAAAAGTATATTGTAAATGTGCATAATTTATTAAAATTTTCAATTTAATGGAAATATAGTTTTTTCTATCAATTATAAGTAATTCTAATTGAACTATACACTTCAGATACCTGTATTATTAGAATAAATTTGGTCACAGATAACTTATTCCTTATAAATGCAGATGCGCATGCTAAGAAAGTTGTCGATAGAAAAGCTGACGTCATCATGTTTATTAGGCTACCAACAACGTTTTTATGCCCCCCATAAACGACGTTTCGTGGACCATATAGTTTTTGTCATGTTCGTGCTTCTGTCTGTCTCTGTGTCTGCCTGTTTGTCCGCGAAAACTTTAACCTTGTCCATAAGTTTTGATTTAGTGGAGCTATTTAATTGAATTAAACCACTCCTCGAATATATTATTTTACAGTACTCCTGAAGTTTCTCCTTCACTGCTGTTAATATTTATTAGTTTAAAAGAGATGCTTGTTAGAACATGTACAGAAATTCTCTTTGTATCTTTGTTAGCAAGGAATTTTATGCAGTTTAGGAATTCCATTATGAAAGTATGTGTGGTAATTCCATTATGAACGTATGTGTTGTAATTTAAATTCAATTTGATTTTTGAGAATATTAGAGACTGAAGTTTGATTTTGAAGGAAGATTGATTGATTGATTGATTGATTGTTGTTTAACGTCCCTCTCGAGAATTTTTCACTCATATGGAGACGCCACCACTTGCCGTTGGAGAGCTACAAATTTGTCCTTTACTCGGCACTTAGGGCTATTGAGAAGAGGGAGGGTCTTTTTCGTTCCAACACCTACTGAGACACGGGACCACGGTTTATACGGTCTCTTCCAAGGGACCGTTTTGAAGGAAGAGATCTCAGGGTATATGTCTTGCAGTGGTAAATTCAAGCTCCTATAAAATACACTAAAGACAAAGGCATCGCAAGGCGGAGCATCTCCTCGCAAAGTCAAGGCAGCATTCGACATAGATCCAGATGTATATCATGTCACGTGTCACACAGAACTAACTCACTAATAATAATAATAATAATAATAATAATAATAATAATTACTCACTAAAAGTTGACAAACAGAATTGCACACGATTTAGCTTGATACATGTATATCCCCTAAATTGACCAACTCCAAAATCAACAGAAAGGATAATAATTAAAAGTTGGCAAAAGAATTGTACTAATTATAGCGGGTTTTCTTGACACATGTAAAATTTTGACCTCTTGCCTGCTCAAAAGTTGTAAATGCACAATTAATACGTGATTCATCTCTTTGCAAAAGAAAAAGATACAGCTCGACGTATTTTGAAATGACCGGAAAACTACCCATACAGCTTTGAATAAGTCATTTTGATATCTATTTTAACCTGATATGAACTTGTTCTGTTGGATCCCTTTAGTTCCGATCTATATTAAGAGAGAGAGAGAGAGAGAGAGAGAGAGAAATTCCAGGCATTTTTAAAGAAAATAATTTCTATTTTTCAACAAGAAAAATTTCCAAAAACACATTTTTAAAGATACATGTACTTTATCAAAACTTCTCCTTTGACCCAAAAGTGAGTCAAGGATTGTATTATCCTAGTGATTAGAAAACAACAGTTCATCGACTTTGGGCACAATACACCTCAAGACATACATACTTGAAAAACTGTAAGTAAGATGTATTCCATGCAAAGTAATCCTTTGCAAATGTTATTTGGATATGTGAGTACTATTATTTCTTAAGAAAAGTTTAAAGGAGAGCATATAGCCTCGTGGTTTATAACTTTTTAATTTAACTTTTTAAGAGAGTTTCTTTAAAGTATTCACTTTAAAAATAATTTTATTAACTGACCAAAATTTTCTCAGTCTGGTCGTCTGCATGGCGCGGTAGATGGAACGTCTACTCCAGAGTCGCTAAGTAAGGAGTTGAATTTTACGTCGCGGGTTCGAATCCCACCGTTGGACTTGGAAACCAGTCCTTCAGATGCGACCATATAAACCAAGTTTCCGTGTAACAATTGGTGCTGACACGAAAAAGATCCCTCATACTTAATTGCCCTAAGTGCCGAGTAAAGGTTAAAATTTGTAGCTCTCCACCGGCAAAAGGTGGCGTCTCCATCTGATTGAAAAATTCTTGACAGGGACGTTAAACAAAATACGTCTGGACCCTCGCCCCTTTACCATGGCATCTACTTCTAATGGCATTGTACGATGTAAGAAAGTTTATCTTTTTCTCAGAATGCAATGGACTTATCAGCAATAGAATTTGGAGCTACCATGAAAAAAGAAGGTTTTCATTTTGAGGATGGATTTACCTATATAAACCATGGTTCCTATGGCGCGGTCCCTTTGCAAATACGTGAAAAACAAAAACAGTAAGTATTTAGCGTACTTTGAAATATTGTGACGTGTCATAAGGTGTGATTGGTTTGATCTTTAATTTTCTGACTTTTAACCCGTATCGTAAAATGATATCCAATTGAATATTAAACCCTGTCTGCTTGAAAGTGGGGTGGGAGAGGGTATGGAGTAGATCCGTATCTTGTCAATTCCTCCTCTAACATTCAATTTAAACAGTATAATTGAATGTGATTTTCACAGTGTGAATTTTTACCTCACATGAGCTGTAAGCTGTCATTATACCCAAGCTTGAAAAGCTGGAGGGTATATACGTAGTGATTGGGATGTCTGTATGTTTTGTCTGTCCGTCCGTCTGTCTTTGGAGGTACCCATTTTTCACAACTCCTCGATCTTACACCACTGAATGATGAAAGTTTATGATTATCTTTCAAAAAGTTTTTACATATTGCCATTGTGCATCTCTTATTTCACTTTTGGATTGAAAACATATTCGGGTTCCCCATAGCAAAACATGGCCTTTGCCAATTTTCCTATGATATTGAAGGGTATCCATCTCTTATCCGCAGCTTCTCCTACACCTCCGAATACAATTTAATAATATTTTCAAAGATTCTTTATAACATAATGCCACTGTGCACCTCCTATTTTACTTTTTAATATGACACTTAATCATTTATAGTGAGCTCCTCTAGTTTTTAGTAAAGCACTGTAATAGTTTCTTATAATGCTGCATTATACATGTAGGAGTAAATAAATGTGATTCTATACAATACGTTTTTATTTTTATGTAACAATTAAAGAAATGAACTGATAATATTAGTAATAAAAATGATACCTTAATAAACAATTAACTTTATAGCTTTTAAGTTTGATATAATTATGTACAATATGCTTGGGCAGAATAAGAATCACATTAATCACTTAGATACTTGTACACTATCAGTTTGATGGTAGGCCATTGTCCCACATAGATATTGTTCTCACCATTTACACACATACTAGGGGGATAGTGTAGCCCTTGATGACGTGTGAATAATAGAGACAAGAAATGGCCGTCCTGATCAAGGAGGTGAACAGTGCTATCGTCATTATCACACACCAGGATGTGACCAAGGACATCAGTACAGATTCCACAGGGAATGAACCATTTCTTTTGACCTGTGTAGGAGAACCTGTACTGTCCTGATTTATTCACCACCGTCACTGCCCCTTTTTGAACGTCGGATGTACAGATATCACCATTTATATGTTTTCTGTGATGTGGTTTGGTGTTATAAACAGTTTCCGACCTTTGTTATTCTTCTTAATCTTCTGTAGTTCTTTTCCTGTCTTGTTGTACCTAGTGACTTTACTTTCTCTTTTATTTTTACTCAATTTTAGCAGTCCTTTAGCCTGTGGAAGTTTCAGCATACCCAACAGTAAGTCCCCGTTAATGTGGGAGGAGTGGATGCTGAGTGGTCTCCAGTCTCCAGTTTTAATGAATTCAGTAATCTTATTATCCTGTGTTATCCTATAGATGACTTTCTTGTATTGGTCTGTAAAGATCAGATCCCCGTCCTGTGTGACTGTGTGGTAACCTCGAGATCCACTGGTTTCTATCCTCTGTTTCTCATTCCCCTGTAGATCTATTTGGACAAGATTACCCTTATTGTCACTGATCCAGAGTCTGTCTGATTGATCTTGTGATACATGTCCTACATTATAAATTATACTTGGTACATTGAGCTCCCGAACCTTGGTGACAGAGGCAGAAAGAGACGTTGTTTGTTTCTTGTCAGATTTCTTCTTGTCTTCTTTCATCTGTTCATGTGTAGTTTTCATTGCTGTATTGTAGACATTTTCAATGGGCCTTATTTTTCTCTTCTCTGCTATAGCGTTGGGGACCTGTATTTTACCAAGTAATTTGGTGACATCACTTTTGCTGTATTGACCAGCAGTGAATTCTGGTGCGACTGGTTTTGTTGTCTCCGGTATGGATCGGATCTTTGGTTTCTTCTTAAACAATAATTTCTGGGGTTCTGTAGAGGACAGGCATCTGTGGAGTTTTTTGACAAGGTTATTAAGATAAATGATGCAATCATCCATGGTCTTGTCTTGGTTATTTAAATCTTCTAACAGTGAATGCTCTATCTGGTCTAACTTCTTCATGTTCTCAGATACAACTGTGTCCACCAGACTTTTCAGGGACTCACCTTCGGTCTTCATGGATGTTCTGATGTTGTTCGCAATGTTTTTGATTTCTGAAGAATCTTTTTTAATTTCTTTCTGTAAGCCTTGTGATATAGGGAGAAAGTGCTCATGAATTTTTGAGATTTCCTCTTGAAATTCTGCATATTTATCAGCATAAATTGTTTCTAGATCAGTAAATACATGCCCCAGATGAATTTGCTGTGTGGCACATTTAGAGCATATTGAAACTTGGCATTCTTCACAGAGCATGTCCACATCTTTAGTGGGGTGGATCTCGCATTTCTCCACAGGAAGTTGTGGTTTGCGTTGGTGGTAAAGCACCACCTCATGGTTCTTGCTCTCTGGACTTTTCAGATGTTCCTGGCTGCATTGTTTGCAGAATCTTTGATGACAAGGATTGCAGTAGAACTCACAGTTTCTTTCACATTCTTCAATGCCGCATTCTAAAAAGTGCTGGGCTCTGTGGGGAATATCCATTTTAGATACTAGTAATGCCACCTGGGATGAATGAAAAATAAAATGAATGAATTCTATGTGACATGAGTAAGATATAAATGTATATTTCAATTCCATAAATTATTTATATTTTCAAATACAATAATTGATTTAGTTGGATCGATCTATGATCGGTAGAAAAACACAAGTTGGTACTCCGTTCATATATTAACGGTTCGAAACTTGGTATTTCTACACGAGATCTGGATGTCAGCGTGGACAGTGCAAGGTCCAGTTTCCAAATTAAGATCTTGTATAAAACAACTAATTTATAACAACAATGAAATAGACAATTAAAATGACGAGGTACTCTAAACGGAAGGACATAATTGACAATTGATATACTGTAAGTCGTTTTAATTCCACGGTGTTAAAATTTCACGATTTCTCAAAAAGTAATTGGTTTTAATTTCACGCTGCTAGAAGTTAATTTAATTTTTGTATAAGCATTAAAACGTTTTTAAAAACAAATGATGACATTTGCTTTTGGTTTAATTTCGCTGAAAAATGGTGAATCGCGAACACAGTGAAATTAAAACCATCGTGATTATTTGTCAATATACAGTAATTGAATAATAATTATTATGTTTACAGGTACAGGTGGCATCAAATGTCTCGCGGTCAAAGTCTATAATTATGTTATTATTAGCACTATCAGAGAAAGTAATTGTCAGTCAAAACCTGTTCATTTAACACGGTCTAAGGTCCTTTCATCTGTACGTCCGTCTGTTTCGCTTTAGAGAATATACATATCTCTTATCAGCAACTTCTCTTTCACCGATGAATGAAATTTGATGAAACTCCTTCAGAATCTACGTTACATAGTACCATTGTGCACCTAATATTTTGATTTTTGGTAAAGACACATATTTTCGGTTTTCAATTGCAAAACATGGACACAGCCATTCTTTTCTTTTTTTTAATATCGAAGGGTACCCATCTCTTATCCACAACTACTCCTATACTGCTGAAAAAAAATAATGCTATATACTTTTTCTTTATCACAAAATGCCATTGTGCACCTTTTATTTTACTTTTTGATCTGACACTTATTTCGCGTTTCCCAGAGAAAAAAACATAGACTTTGCCATTATAACCATGTGGGAGGCTGGGAGTATCATATAGTGGGCTCATTGTTCACAGAGTACCTCTAGATCTATTTTTTACACAAGCGGCTTTGGCTTGTCAAGCTAGATAAAATTACAAACCCTCAAACATCTCCCTCGTTTTATGTGCACCACCATTTGTTTTCCAATTTTATCTACAGGTTATTGGACGAGTTGAATGACAATCCAGACTTATTCTTCAGACAAAAGGAGTATGAGCTATACATCAGGGCTAGAGATGCAGCAGCAAAATTTGTAGGCGCGGATCCAGAAAATTTAGTTTTTGTACAAAATACCACAACAGGTACTAGTGTTTTGCTAAAAAAAAAAAAAACCGATAAAACCAGTATTACTGGAAATACCGAACAGTATTTAAGCTCAAAAGTGTCAACATATTAACCATAAGATATAACTTAATTTTTTTAGATATATCTTAAGCTGTCAACTATCCAGTTCAAAACTATGTTGCGTATATGTCCTTAATTAAATGTGTGCAACAAATCTTACGCTAACAATTCTATTTACAATGTTATAACTATCTATTATTCCACATATCCATAATTCAAATGATTTCCATAATTAATGAATGCTTTGCCGTCTTTAAGAATTTTATGCGCATAAATTCCTCTCGCAATATTTATATTTTTTCATATCATTTAAGATATATATTTATTAATAAATTTAATTGGTCAAAAGATTGTAATCATTTAATGAATTTTTTTATCAGACCTTAAGGACAGATGATACAATTTTTTTCTTTGGAGGAGACTTAATATCATGTCTCAAGTTTAGAGAAGTGGATAATTCTTAGAATTTTTCTCCAAAAAACTGGAAAATGAAATAGACTTGGAAAATATTAGTAATATTTAATTAAAATTACAAATATGGATATAACACACTCAGTAAAGGTTCACAGATGAAAATATACATATATTACATGTATTATATTATATTGGTGCTAAAAGTGTAATATAATCTTTAGAAAAGTATATCAAGCCATGTGAATTTTATAAGGAAAAATTAGCCTATATGATATTGATGAATTTTGTCATTTTGTTTTTCTTCATAAAAATAACCTGGCTTGGTATATTTTTCTAAAGTTTATATTGCACTTTTAGCACCAAGAAAACATATTCTGAAATTTATTTTCACCTGTAAACCTTTCCTTAAGTGATTTGTCTCTTTTTGTTTTTTTATTGAAATATTACTAATATTTTCCAGTTCTTAGGATAAAAAATTCTAAGAATTTTTCACTTTTCTAAACTTGTGACATGTTATTAAGTCTCGTCCAAAGAAAAAAATTGTTTGTATCATCTGTTCTTAAGATCTATTCCAAATAAGGACAATCATTTGTGCAAAGTATTCCAAGTTTACATCAATATATGTAAGACGTCTCTGAATTGTATACACTTTAATTAATGTTTCTTTGTTTATTTTTGGATTTTTTTTTTTGGCTACATTTTTATCAAGGTGTAAACACTGTACTGAAGTCGTTGTCATGGCAGCCAGGTGATGAGATCTTAGCGACTGTGTCCACCTATAAGGCTGTAGCCAACGCCTGTCGACAAGCAGCGGAAGTTTTAGCGGGCGAGTTTATCATAAACTTAAAAACGTAAAAAAAAAAATCACTGATTTCAACTCGTGTTTTCTACCATAGTATCAATGCATTGGTTGATTTACATTTTAGGAGGACAATTTCGTCAATTTGATATCAGGTTTCCAATCAGAGATGAAAGTGAAGTGGTAGAAAGTATGACAAACCATCTGGATAAATACCCAAAGATACGACTGGTCGTTATAGGTGCATCAATTTTCTTTTAGCTGACTGAAATTGTTGTTCTATCTCTAAAACATTCATGATAAAATTTTAGCCCCTGTCTACAAAGCATCACAATATTTATGTTAAATTTTGGATTTAATTTTTGCTTTTTCTTGTCACTTCAGACCACATCTCAAGCACTACAGCACTTGTATTCCCTTTGAAGAAAATGATAGCAGAATGTAGAAAAAGAGGCGTACTCGTTTTAGTTGATGGTGCGCACGCCCCAGGGCATGTAGAAGTAAATCTGGAAGATTTACAGGCCGATTTCTACACGGGGAGCTTCCACAAATGGTTATATGCACCCCGCGGGTGTGCGATACTCTGGATCTCCAAAAAACACCAGGATTGGTGCATTCCTCTGGTGACCTCAAACAATTATAAAAAGGGTGTTCAGCTGGAATACTTCATACAGGGATTACGCGACAATATACCATATCTGATCGTACCAGATTTATTAGAATTTTACAAAGAGATCGGAGGAATGGTACATACTTGTTTATGCCCAAGCATCGTTCTATCTTAATATTTTTTACGTGATATATTTCAAGGTTTATTAGCCGTCTGATAAGAGAGATAACTCTAACTTACATTTTACATTAGAGAACACAAGTACAAAAAGGTTAATGCGTTCTAAAATATATGTCTAGTTTTTACTTTTGGAGTTTCAAAAATAAAACCTTTTATTTTGTAAAGGAAAGAATCCACAAATACACCGGGCCTCTTCTGGAGAAGGCGAGCTCGATGGTCGCAGAGCGACTGGGGACTATGACACCGGACATACCGAAATCAATGATGGCGCCCAACATGAGACTGGTCCTATTACCGGTGTATAAAGGATATACCGAGATAACACATGTAAGGATATATAAAGTCACTAAAGAAAGAATTGATTTTTTTTCTTTTTTTACAAACCGGTATTCCAAAATTTTGTTTGTAGATTACGATGGTTTCATTACTACTTGATTCAAGTTTTAATCCAGTTTTCTATTTTATGTAACATATCATTGAAAAAATTAAATGTGAAAGGAGCTCTAATCTTGGATCCAGATTTTCAGTCATTATCGGCCGCAGCAGCGGCCGATCTATTTGTGGTTGTGTTAGAATGTGCACATTGAAATCAGATGAAACTCATTATTTTATTAGTTCAGTAAAATAATTCTCAAATGATAACATGTATAAAATCATGAGTTAAATATTTTAAAAACTTGCTTTAAATTAAGTTTTAATTGTTGTTATTTTGTTCCAATTTCATTATCATTTTGCATCATATAATTGATAATTTATGGTTAAATAAAAAGCGTTTACAAATAAAATCCCCATCCAGGGAGTGTGTATGTATCGAAAGGAAATTGTTATGATTTTCCGGATAATAATGACGTGCACGTGGTAAAAGTGCATGGTGAATAAAAAATTTAAAAATTGGTCTATAAAAACTTGTGTGAAAATCCCACAGCTACGAATGACACAAAGATTATTTTTATACATTTTTGCACCGCACCATGTGCAGCATAGCCTACTCTGCAGAAACCAGGCATTATCACGTGACAAATAACCAGAAATCAGCATTTTTATATCCATAGCAAGGGGCGTCAAAATCCGGGGGGATTTTAACGTATCTTAGTGTAGTCTACTTGTGTGCCAAGTTATATTCAAATATATAAAACTTATTTAGGCATTTTAAAATGGAATTTACCATTTTTTTTAGTAACCATAGCCCCCCCCAAAATCAATTAGCCCACCCCCATGGCACCCCACTTTCGATTTGCTTCCGATACCCATGCATATTCATCATAGACTTTTTTTCACAGAAAATTCATTTTTAGCAAATGCACTAAAATTTCTATTTAAAAATATATTTTATTCATTAAATTGGATTGAACAGCAGGCATAATACTAAAATTTCAATCAAATTTTAAAAAATATTTGTCTATTTTTTGCTTTGAAGACGGCCTGAAATAAAAATGATCACTATTTCAGCTTTGAATATCCTGTTCTTTTCTTGCATGAATGCTTTGAATTATGAAAGTACTTTTTTGACATGTTAAATATGTTAGCGGTCGATTTGATGCTTTGCATCAATTAATTTGTATTTTACGTTAAGTAACAAAAAAAAATTACCTGTGACCTTAAACATACTTATAGGATCCCCCCAAGTCCAAAGAGGAAACGTTCTTATAGATTTAATTTGCTTGTCTTTTTTAGGAACTGGGGGATGAATTGCTGTTTCACATAATGACCAAGTACAAACTTCACTGTGCAGTATGCCAAGCACAGGGTCAGCTGTATCTCCGACTATCTGCCAACATTTACAATGAACTCTCGGATTATGAAAAAGCTGCTGATATTCTGTGTAATCTACCCCGAGATTGAATAATGTTTAAATGGAGAAACAAAAAATGCACACTTGTACATTGAAATAAAGATTATATAGAGCAATAACCGAAATTCATGAAAAATTTGTTTTGCTTTTAAATACTAAACAAGAACTTCAATAAAATTTAGTTATCAACAGAGATCTTATAAATTAGACCATGACACTAATACACAATATAATACATGTACAACTTCTGAATCCAGCCTTTCCTAAATGCTAGTGATGCAATACTAATACATGTATATTTCCGTTTTCTACAGTGTAAAATAAGAACACTACTATATTTAAATTTTTTCCTGGTTTATTGTAGAAAGACAATATTGACAAAGAAAGGGACCTTCTCATAATATTATTTATTGACAGCAGTTTACTCTTTACATAAGAAATATTTCCCCCTTGAAGTTCAAAATTTGCTGTATCTAGAAAAGTTTGGCACATGATACATGAAGTGAAGGCATAATCTAGGCGAAAATAATTCAATTACAAATTTCAAACAGGGACATCATAAATCAATTTGCTGATTTTCTTCACATAAATCTGCTATTGCTATACACATTAATTTATATGGCTGCATTAAGCTGCTTAATATACTATGTATTTCTACTTCACTTAAATTAACATTTAATGCCTAAAATCACATATTCTTTGTAGTAATGGATGGATTATCAATTGAAACACAGAATAAATATTTTTACTCTAGACGTCTACAAAAAAAAAAAAATTAAACATGGACTCAGATCTCTATACAATTACAATATTAGTTTGAATTAAGTTATGACAAAGAAACATCTACAGACAAAAACATTGTAAGCTGGATGGGTTTCATTAAGTTAGCACCGTTTCAGTGAGTTTTCATAACCCTCTCAAAAGACAATTCGGTTTACATGGAAACAATATATCCAAAACCATTGGTGATTCCTAACAGATGCCATTTTGTTAAAAATCTGGATGTCACCACTGGCTAAGAATATTGGCAGAATGGTTTATTTTACAAAGAACTACTGATTTTTTTCACATAATATCCCCCCAGAGCCCCCAGGAAAATATCCCCCCAAAACATTTACATATTAAAGCTTCTATTTGCAAATTGAGTAATTATCACTCTCATTTCAATAAGATGTAAACATTTGTACATATAGATAACATGATAAAAACAAGTCATTATACATATCCATGAAATATGACACACATCTTAGGCACTACATATAATACATGTACTTGTATACATATTCTGAAAAATGAGTTACATATGAAAGGCTAAAAACAATGTCCATGCAGAAAAAAATGTCGTACCACAAATTATACATATCCGATAAAAACCTATCTACAAACAACTATGCTTTGTCACTAAAAAATAAACAATATTCATAATACACATACATGTAAAAATTTGTTATAAAAAATTGAAAAAAATGCTTTGTTCAACCTTTTTATTTGATTGGTAGTTTATCAAAAATACTTAAAACAACCTTTTCTGTTCACAATCATAAATTTCAGTACACTGAGATGCAAAATGAGGTAAAATTTGAGTGAAAAGTTCCCAAATAGTTTAATTAAATATCAGAATGCTTCCTATGTGAATGCCCAAAGGCTTTGTAAGTATATAAATTCATTCCTTCATAAGTGGTAACCAAACTTTGGGTGCATTTATTGAATTTGTGTTTGGATGACCCAGTTACCTGCATCCTCATCCAGTAACCACCATTCTAACATAAAATTACAACCCATTTTACCATACTGGTTTACATTCCCTCAATGCTGATCCACAATGCCTTGACCTTATCAACAGGACCATTCAGGCCCATACAACAGACCTGATTTTAAAAATAATCCACACAAACTTGAGTATTAATATGCTTACATGTATAAAAAAAATTCATCTACAACTTGACCAAAAAAAAAAAAATAGTACCATCACATATCATCAGTATGTGATGTTCTGTACAATATCCATGGTAAAATACATTTGTAAGATCTACCGGGTTTTGTTCTAAGATGTCTATTCACTACTGTGAACCAGGGTTCTCGATTCCTATGTTCTTGAAGCAGCCATCTGGCAGAGATTCTTTAATTTCTTGTATATTGTCTACCTCTTTCTTGAGATAAGATAAATCTTCCTCGTACTGCGCTACCAGCTGCAGAATTTTGTCATTGGCTGTCTCTAAACTATTGTACTTGTCTTGCAGGTCTGTTCCCATTAACTCTTTTTCTGCTGCGTCTAGTTCTTGTTCCAATTCGTCCAGCTTATTCACATCCACGTTCACTAATTGACCTTCAATGAAAAACACATTTTTTAAAATTAAAACCTCATTTATGATAATTAGAATCATCTATTTCCTGGCTGACCTATATATAGAATTTCAAATATAGATGTATGACTTTATCAATTTTATTTTTATCTTTCATTCACAAAATTTCAAATAAAGTAATGTTCCTAGAAAACAATACGTCTATGAATTAAGCAAGGAGCACTTTTTAAAGCAATCATTTATGATAATCTATGAAAAATACCTTATTTGCAAAAATAAAAAGGACACACTAGTTATATTCATGTATGGCTTACTCATTAGTCAAATTAAATTTACTCTATAATTTGGATAACTCCTGATGAACAAATCATAAATTTAAACTTCTGGAACCAAACAAATTATCTATGTTTGTACCAATCCATACCTAAAAGAGTTGAAATGTTAGTAACAGTCTCTAGGGCTTTAGTAACATCATCTGAAACTTTCTTGGCGGTATTCTTGGCTTCATCTGCTTTTCCCAGTGCCTTTAAAAAAATTATGTACATAAGTGATACTTCAGTTTTACAGAAATCAACTAACAACAAATCTTCAAAGACAAGAGACATATATATCAAAATATAGAAATGACTTTTTTAAAATCACAACACACCTCTCCTGCTAGCTGGGAGTCAACCAGAGCTTGGTTTTCATATTTTGCCAGCTCTCTCTCAGTTTCAGAGAGCTCATTAGACAGCATGTCTGCTTGATCTTTTAGGCTGGTGGATCTAGTTTTGGTTGTTTCAGATTCCAGACGAATTCTGCTGGCCTCCTAAGTAAAGTAAAACAAATCAATCATCAAAGCTTAGGAAAAGATAGGATGGCATGTTGTACATTCAGTGAAAATTTCTGTATCACCATTTTTTTATATATAACAATTTTTTATATCACAATTTTTGCAAAAATATGTCAAAGCACTGTTATCTAAACTTGCACAATTGTCCCAGTGGTTTAATAGTTATCTATGTACATTTCAATTTTGTGACAAATTTATGCAAGTTTAATTTTGTTTCAAAATCTAAAAATGCTTGCAAAGAAAATGAACACTAGATTATCACAAAAATCAAACATTATATGGTATATGTACAAGAAATAACAGCACTGGACTTACTTTAGAAGCATTTGTGGCAGTAACTTGAGCAAGCTCAGCCAATGACAGGGCTTCGTTAGCGTCAGACTCCGCCCCACTGAGAGCATCCCGAGCCTCCTGAGTCTTGTTCTCCGCTCGCGTTATAAGTTCCTCTATGTTGGGGATTTTCTGGATGGCTTCCTGTGCTTTGCCCTTACTCTCTTCCACTTGTTTGTTAAATCCTATTTGATGGAAGCAGTAAGATGCATATGGATTGTTTGGTATAAAATTAATGAAGTATTGTAGATACAAAACATTCTCAGTTTATTTTCAATAACATTGTTCTACAATATTTCAATACATTTAAATCATTTTGTAAGGAACAGCCAAATTAAAATTCATTTTTTTTTTATATATTTTAGCAATTCTATTGAAGAAAAGACAAAAGGTTTGTCAGGAACAGCCAAATTAAAATTCAATTTTTATAATTCAACAATGCTCTTGAAGGAAAAACAAAAAGTATAAAAACAATAGTGTCCATACCCAGTAAAATCTGCAGGGTTTCATTAGCCTCAGCCAAAGTTTTCTCAGCTCTGGCTACTGCCTCTCTAGCCATTGTTCTGGCCACATCGACCTCTGCCAACAACTCATCCACTTTCTGTAAAATATTACAAACACATCATTAATTACAAAGGCAGGAAGACTCCTTTCTTACATCCACCTATCTTAGCCTACAAACTAAAGAACCAGTAAATCTCCCTGTATGCCTTTACCTGTTGATTTCTAATTCCAGACGTCAGTAATCCCTCTGCTTCTGACCTCTGGTTAACGGTATCATTCAGAAGTTTGGCATTGTCCTGCATCAACTTCTGTGCCTCCTTCTTAATGTCTGCAGCCTAGTTAAAGAAATTAGTTTATATCATTTATAAAATTAAGAGATTTTCCAACTGTAAAACATTGAAGTCATGTAGGTATGAAAAATACAATTGTTGATAAGAAATCAAGCAGCATAAAATGTACTATAATAGTGTGTGTAAGATCAAAGTTTTAGACTATCTTTTGAAATCAGGAAAATAAACAATGAAATCTCATTTCTACAACAATTTTAACCATTCTATGCATGGAAAACACTAAATTTCAACCCCCAAAACAATAGAGAAATAAATTTAAAAGACAAATACAAAACTTCTCTCCTATCAAATAATACTCTCTTATTTTATGATTACTTAGGCCATATAAAATTGAAATCTTGGTTCTCAGGCCCGTGCACATCCGTTTTGAGGTAGCCGCATCGCCGATTTTATTGTATTTTTGATAAAATAAAAAGTTGGTATTGCGGACACCAATCCGGGAAAAAAATTTCCGACCTCATTTGTTTCGTAGTTTAGTATTAAAATATCACTTCCGGTAGCCATTTACAATGAGATTTTGGCTACTTCGTTTGAAAATACATTCGAGGACATTACCTACGATGTTTACACGCTGTTAAGCAATGGATAAAGCAGAAATTTTGACCAGAAATGGAAAGTATATCTGTGATTAAAAAAATTATCTTTATGTTAAAGAAAATTCGGAAATTAAAATTAAAAAAAATACCTCCCTCATCTACTTTATTGCCAATAAAATGAAAAATAAAATGCCGCCCTCCCGCATCTGTTTTGGAGAAAATTGGCCTGAGAACCAAGGAATTAAATTTAGATAGCCTTACAGTGCTTTTTATTCTCTGTGTATTGCTGTCCAACAGGTCCAGATCAAAGGCTGGTAGCTGCATGGAGGTGGCTTCTGTGTACAGTTTCAGGGCCACCTTATAAGCTTCCTTGGCTCTCTCTCTGGCCTTGTCAGCCAATGTCTTGGTCTGGTTGTACAAAGTATCAGCTTC